CCAAGGGCCATAGTTCACTTTTCATCAGTATTAAACGATTTGTTCAAAGGAGCGTTGACTCTTTTTGTTGATAGATAATTGTGTAAAGTTTAATGATGTTTGCCCGAAAATAGAGGTTGGCTTAGAACAGGAAGATGAATAAAATTATGATCAAATTTCAAAGCTAACACTCCACCTGTTGGATTTGGTACTATTAAATTTAACATTTCTAAACTTAATACATGTATTACGAAAATAAGTAACAATATTGATTTCTATGAAATCATTAAGCAATATTTAACCAAAAACAACTGATAATACTCATTAAAAGTTTAGAAAATTTTGCAAATATTAAACAAGAAATAATTAGGAACTTCTGTTTTATTTATTATTACAACTTCGAAGGCACACCATCAATTGCCTTGATTAAAAAAAGTTTTAAATTATTTATTCATATTTTTAGTTAACTGCTTCATAAGCAAACAAATTATTTAGAGTGAATATACTAATCTTTTATACGACGAAAGCAAAGTTTCATTTACGTAAACCGGAGCAAAAACTACGTCAGTACCGAGCTGCTGTATCTCACATAATTAAATGTTTTATTAGAATAAAATACATCATTGACCAATAACGTTCGTCTACACTTTTAAGCACCATTGAAAGCAGTATCGACTGATCAGCAATTATTTTATTTTGTTCTGATTAGCAACACAAATAAATTAGTATTATTGCAATAACAAATTTATTGGAAATATTTCAATATTCACTATATACGGTATAAAATTGTACGCATAATATGAAGTAACCACAATTTTATAATACATTTTTCCTTCATATACGGAAACTATCAAAATTTATGCCTTTTACTCCCCTATTTGTGAGAAGATAAATAGGAATTTCCACCCTAAAAATATAGTTTACTCTTCCAACTTTCCCTAGGGGTAGAAAAATTCATGTCTATACGGTTATCTTTATTTATGAAGCACGGTACATAAAAAATGCATTTGTTTATTGAAAATTCTGATACGACGAAATATGCTAGGTACTTAAGTAATGTACGAGCTAGTTCAATGTGAAGGCTTGTATGTATTTGTTTTAATGTCACTTGATTGTTGAATGGTTTTTCGAATAAACTGTTTTTTCTATAACTGCAGTTTGTTGTAATAATTCAGCCGAGCCAATACGTTAAAAAATTGCACTTAACCATTTTATTGCTAATGTTTATTTCCTAGTCTTATGTATTTACAATGTACCTCTCTTTAAAAAAAGGCACCTAACCTTACCCGCTATTTACAAAACATTCCATTAAAAAATAATTAGTTTTTTTATCGTGCATTTGTTAAATGTTCAAAAACTGTCTATTATCAACCCATGTTATTTGTTTTCTTTTATCACAAAATGTCACGAAATAATTCTAACATCGTAAAACATTTCCACATACAATTTATTGTATCAATTGTTTCGATTAAATATGTTGGTTAACGTTTTCCTTAATTAAGGTAATTACGGAGAGTTTTTTTAACATCGTGATTATTTCGACTGATTAAAATTCATTTCGATATAATTTATTATAGTATTTGTCAATCGTTGTGTCTTCAAGCTATTTTTATCGCTCTGGTAAATACCGTAAGGATTACATGTATTTTGTAAATACGACGGTATCTGTAATGGAGCTATATGTATCCATGGATGCAATTCGATACTCATTCGTCATATTATTTAAAATAAAGGACATGCTTTTTGACTTAAAACTTCGTTTTAAGTTCATTGGAAAACTTTGACATTTAATTGATGCGATTCAAATTCATTGGACCGAATGATTACCTAACGAATCCACAAAACAAACAAAGAGCATTTCGACGGATTAAAGTGCAAATGAGCTAAGTTCACGGTTTGTTAATAGAATTGCGTCTTCTAATTATAAGAGTCTGACGTTGGAACTGAGTAGATGCTGTGGGGTGTCACGAATTTCCCTTCGAAATTAGATTTTCTTATTGCTTATTAGAGCCGAATGGATTGGAAAGTGATCGATCACCGATTTACTTCTCGAATTAGAAAACAACCGGGAGTTCTTAATCTCCTTTAGTATCAGATCGACGAATGCGTTACGAAAATATTTCTGCTAAATTTAGCGATAGAGGTTAATTACATTTTTTTTATCTCGCATTTAAACGAGCTCAATGCTGAAAGAGTTTATACAGCCTAGCGAAATTAATTTCGAAATCTAAAATTACCATGCATATGAATCGTTTATGAACCATGTGAAGCGTTCACATCAGGTAAAAATCGCGATTCTAACACGTTACTGTTGCTCTGCTTATCTGATCTATGAAATTTATGGGAACATAGCATTTAATAAAATATGAGAAATCGATTTGAATATTCACCTATTTTCTTCGCTGATTTACATGCTCGTGCCTATTCTTAAAGAAGTTCAACAAGTTATTCTTTCGCACGCAATCATTAGGTACAGTTTATCGGTCATAAATTTAATATCGCCCAGTTTTATACTCATAAACAACTTGGGTCAATGAAAAATGGCCAATTTTAAACGATTTTACTGTATTTTAATCAGATCTTGAATCATACAAAGGATTTAATTTTATTGTTAATTTCATCATTACTTAACGATCTGGTACTGACTTTTCTTTGTTTAAATGGCAATTTAACTGTAAGTTTATACAATATTATTAAATTAGGAAGGCCGTTTTTGTGTATTTTACCAACGTTTATAGCAGGGTTCGTTTCCTGCAAAAATTCCTCTTTAACAAATTACCAATTAATGTCATGCGTGAGCCTATTTTAAAGTAACATTTTATCGACCTTTAACTCAACTTTCATGTTTTACCTTTGTTATTAATTCTTCAGGATAATAAGACAAAAGCACGATACCGACCTTGACAGGAGTGTCGAAAAAATGAAAAAGGTTTTTTGATTACAAAGTGCAAGAAGCGTGCATTCAACAAATTAAGATTCGTTACGTTTCGAAATTCAAATGAAACATTTTAATAAAAGCAGGTCTTTAAGGCCGTAAATATGAGAGGAGATTAAAGGCACGTGATAAAAAAATAATTGTAATGCACACGGTCATTACTACGTGTTAATTAATTGAGTAATTAATTTCCTGTCGTTTGATAATACGTATAAACATTTTTCATTTTATTATTACGGCGTCTCATTCAATCTAGGGCATTTTTCTTTTCTTTAAGTAGAAGATTATACATTACATACATACATAAAACATAACGCTGCTACGAAAAACAAATTAAATTGGCAGCGTAATTCAATTCTTTGAATGATTCAACATTCGATTGTTATTCGATTTATTTTCCTGTCGGTAGTATACAGAGTACGCACAATGCGATAAAGCTCGATTAGAAAATAGGTTAGTGACCGTTTCCTGCCACATTAGAAGCATTTAAAGTAAATGATGCAATGCAAATTTGATTATTCTCGGACGTTTATTCATTGATGTAAACTTTCACTTTTTGTTGGAAGTGTATTTTACATTGCATGATGCATATTTACAAAGTTACTGACAATTCTATTATTCATACACATTATATGAAATAAATTACGGTTAATTTATTGACATTGATTGTAGCTTTTTGCGATTGTTATTATATTGCACCAGTATAGAAAAGTTAATTGCTACGTGATTATTTCTTATAAAATTGCAATAGAATGTTATTCTACGTATATTTTTTATTTTTATCTTTTCCTGCAAGAGCATTTGCTGATTTTATTAGTAAAATATAACCGTGTTGTTTATTATTCTCACAAATATAATAATAAATAGTCTAAAAATACGTCGATAGATCTACATGAAAATTAAATTCAACAAAATTTAGAGGTACCAAACTTTTTTTATTCTGATTTACCTACTCTTTATTTTTAAAGAAATTTTAAAGACACTTTTAAGTTTTACGTACACGCATAAATTATCTTTAACTTTGATTAGATGATCAAATAATAATAAAATACTGTAGAGATAAAAAAGTTAAATGCTAAATTCCCGTCGTTTGTTTGAGTAAGATTTAATGTATCTAATACACTTTTATAATTACCTCTGAAGGGCAAATATTAAATTAACACAATAAAAGTCTGTCAAAACAGTTATATTTTTGTTGAATCAATATGCAGTGTAAGAAATACTATGATTCTGTAACATATTTAATTATAAATAATATTCAGAAGTGATGATGCATAATTTCGTTCATAAATAAATCATTTTAATCGAGTTTTTCCTGTTTAAATAAATTGTGCTTGCTGTACTATAACGTTCCACTTCGACAATATCTTCAGTTTCAATAAAATTTATTCAAATTGTTTTGTGTTAAATACAAGTTTGGCATATTTAAATTCATTTCCCAACTGACGAAGGTTTTAATATTAATGAAACAATGCTGTGAATCATTGAAATGTATTAAAAATCTTTAAAAATAAATGCAGCGACACAAAGCTGGTTAGCCTTCGATACCTCATGATATTTTGTAGTCAATTTTTGAAGCAATCATTGAGATTAGATTAATAGAATATAACTGTTAAATGCAGCATACATGTGGTAGAGATAATTTAAAAATTAATAGTTAAACCTAACTTCGATTATAAAAATTAAATTATCGAGTGTACTTGTAATAATTGAGAGACCTTGTCCAGATGTTGCCAGTTTTTTCTCATCTCTTTTAGAGGTCAACTTCCAGAATTAAGTTTGAGAATCAATCGTTGCGTAAATATTTTCAATTCCTTGACTTATTGGTTCAAGAAACATAAGTTATTAAAAGTTTTTTTAATACTTAAACATTCCTACTTGAATTTAGCAGATTTTTAATAGAAATCGATTAAATTTTCAATACACAAAGAGATCGTGTTATCCATCAAGTAAATAATCGCCAATACAAAAAAAATCACATCGATCTAAAATTCGCATTTAATAGGTACAAGTTTAAAGTGATTTTGCACGTAAATATGATACGTTGACTGACTTTCTCGAGTGACTTTTCCTCTATATCATCGCGATGATGATGTTCGAAGTGGGAAACATCGGCGGCACCAAGATGGACGCCGCCGCCGCTCTAAAACAAACGCCCCACATCCGACAACCTTACAGCGTAAAAAACCAAATGATGCGGTTTCTGAGGCGATCTAAATCCGCGGCCAACGCGCCCAGCGAAAAAATCACGCCCAAACACGTTCCCAACGAACACCTTTACAGGCGCAATCACGTACATCCTCAGACGAGGGTGGTAAACCACGTGGAAGGACTGCCGATTGTCGTAGCCAATAAACCGAAAAAGGTAAGTAGTTCGAGTTATACGAAAGGATAAAACCGCCGAGGCAGCTAGTATAGTTGTGACTATACTCTATTGCAATTTCGCAATGAACGTAGTTTTTTTTGCATTAAACTAATACTCATTAATATTGTTATAAAAAGTTGGAGCTTATCTATTCCGATCTTTATATTGGGGCATGTCAATAAAATACGTATATAATTACTCCTCTATATTCAACTCTATATTATGAGCGGATTTTGCTCATAATTATTATTTTTTAAATGCGCGAATAATGGATATTCGAACATCGACTTGCATTATTGTATAGTTAAAATCATTATGGATGTCGTTATAGGCCCTTCTGCTCCGGGATTAATTTTAATTGACCATTATGTAGTGCCAATTAGCCACCCTCAATTGCTATAGTAATGTATTCTGGTAATTAAATCAGTAATTGATTGGAACGAAAGCCAATTAATACGTTGTCGACGAATGTGTATATCGCTCGTTTATTAAATGCTCTTGTGCGTTATTAGTTGGAAATTTGTAGAGGTGTAGAAAATGAAAAAAAAAAGGTGATTGTGCCGAATTGAAGTTAATTCGTTCGTTTGGAAGAGGAAATTGTCCATTTTCAGATCCTGCTAGAAAGTGTGTTTGCAGAACCGGCTTTAGTTAACAATAGTGGACAACTCATTTTACCCCTATTGGTTAAATTCGGCCCTGTAAGTTTGCCCTGACGACGAATGTAAACGGCCGATTGGAATATGGTTTTAATTTCCTTTTCCATATTGATTATTTATCCAATTTTGCAGAGGGACGCCCAACTATTAGGTTTCCTTCCTGCAATATGAAAATTACATTGCTATAATAGAATTAATACACGCGAAATTTCTAATTTATTTTCCTCCTAAAAATACTGTTAAAATATCAGAAAGCTTAGTTTTTCTTGGATGAAGCGATTGAAAATAAACTCGGAAGAATTTTTGACGGAATTTATAAGGTGCACGTGGTATCGAGATTGATATAGTTGATAAGTCACAGCTGTTTTCACGCGACTTTGTGGCACATAGACGATAGTGACATCTGGAAAATTTAGCTTTTTTTTCTTTAGTTTTGTTTTATTTAAGGAATTCTAATAAAAATACTTAGGGATATTGAAATAGTTCATGAAAATTCGATCTTATAAATCAGTGGGTTTATTAGCCTATCTTTTAATTAGTATAAATTATGGAAAATACTGTAGATAGTTGGTAAATTATGACACCTTTTATTTTGTTAATTTTGCTTATTTATTGCGAAGTTATTGCAATTACAGTAGTTTACATTCTCATTTATTCCTAGAACAGAGATACCTATATGATTTAAATAAAAGTGGAAAAACCACATACATGCATACGTTCGATTACATTATTATTCATCGTTTCCTTGTTTGCAATAGAATATTTTTGTTAAAAAGAACATACATAGAAACTACATTTTGTTTAGAGAATTTCATTCTCTTGTTGTTGAATACGTGCCTTTATTTCCTTGGATTATTTTTGCTTTTGGCAGTAAATATTAATGATCCTTTAGGATTCTCATGGATTCGACTTAACGAACTTCGATTCAAATTTAGTTTTGTTATAAATTGTTAATCTACAACCCAATGTTGATGGCCTTTCACAAAAGGCTGCTAAACTTTGTGTACCGAAATAAATTTCTGGTTTAATTATTAATTGCATATTCTCTAATCATACCAATATAGGTATCATTACCTTCTTTTTAATAAAATAAAATTACATACGTTGCCTGTATAGTCTATTTTAAGTTCAGTGCATAATTTATCAACTCATCAATTTAATGTATTTTTAAACTTTGGATCAATAAATGCATTATCCGGATCTTATTTTAATTCCCAACCTACGTTATGTCTGAAAAACCTACCATTACAAACATTTCATCCTTAGCAGCGATCGATTTTTCTATGAATAGCAAAACAAAGACATTTATCTGGCATAATCTTTCCTTTCCATAAATTATGAAAAACACCCGTCATATGTGTTTGCTTTCTACTACAGGTAAAACCTCGCAAAATACAAAGGAATTGTTCATCATTACAAAATGCCTTTATTAAAGACAATCAATCAATACATACAGGATTAATTTGTCATTCCTTTGAACATCATACAATCCGATTGCAGCTCGTTGTTCGCCCATGCCAGATTAAATTGGGAGAATATCATCCGTATCCGGAATAATAACTGCAATGTTTTTCAATGCAGTACGGGTGCACATTGAACCAACAATCATTGTTATCGCAGTTGTTTTGTTTGCGCGTTCTCCGATTCCTTTAGATGGAAAATCTATTGTTCAAGAATATTTTCCTGCTGCGAGCGAATTGTCGAGTTATATTTTATTTACCTCCTGCGTTCATTGTTCCTTGACATAAGGTTGAAGTCGAGATTTAAATATTTTTTGCAAATGTAAAATTGAATTTCCCGACAGTGCTATTTTCAGTTCCGACAACTTTTAATAAAGCTCGCTCGCAATTTAGGGTGGGATGCTTATAAAAAGAGCGCTGTTTATAAACCTAATAAAAATACAACTCGCCGCGATGCCAGTGGGGAAAAAGCGAGAATTTCGTTCCGTAATGGGTACTAAAATGAATTCCATCGACCTACTTTTAAATTAATTGATGGTCTCATTATTAATTAATATCTGAATCTCACTAATTAAATAAATCAGTGACACTAATCAAACACCTTTTCCGAGAATTTTTACTTAATAACCGCTCGTTTTGTGCGCAGCAGCGGTAAGATCACATCAATTAACCATTATTTAATCGTTTAACTAAAGCATCACGTGTGCTAAATTTCGCAATTAGTAATTCGCTTAATTAAGGAAAAATTTGAATTGTAACAATGCGTATGCACAATATTCACAATTTGAATACATGATGAGATTTTAAAACGGAAAAGTAAGTTTTTTTAATTATGCAATTAAAATTGAAAGCGCATTATATAATGAGGTTTCTTATCATTTTATGTCTGTTCTAATAATATAAAAAATATATATTCTTTGTATTTGCAACTTTTACTTTATTGCATGGACTGGAGAGAACGAATTGCTCTGTTCTCTTTTATTATAAATTGATATTGTGAAAAATTCCATCTACTAGTTGAGAAACTGCGATACTTGTGATAGTATTAGAATGTCAATTATATCTGAGCATTCTGAGAATGTTGATTAAATCCATTCCACAGTATTGTGTTTATATTTCAATTAAATACTCTATTAGTTTACAAGTGAAATATTTAGCACAAAATAAAATTAGTTCGTATAGCAAGAATATTTGAGAGCTTCTATTTTAATAGATTCCCTTCATTTTCTTGAATAAGGCGGTCAATAATAGTCATGTTTATAATTGGATCAAACATAAAACACACCTTTTAGATATCCTATGAACTACGTATGTATCCTGCCATACACACCTTAGCTTTACAAGCATGCGAACGTAGAATGTGTTGCATACCTAACTGGCGATCAAAATTGGTTATTTAATAATTTCATCTTCATGTCTACAATTACAGCAACCTTCACGGTAATGCTATCTAATGACTAATTTTTATCGAAATTGATGATGCGATAGTAATTTATCAAGGTACGGCAAGATAAAAATTGTTTCCCAACGTCCCTCAATAATATTACAGTAGCATCAATACTTTGATCAAAATTGAATAAAATCCAACTTTCTCCATATTAATAATGAAAGTTTAATTTCAAAGTCCATCCAGAAAATTGGAAACAAAATGTTTTTTGATTAACACACCTTTATCAGCGGTTAATTGGGTAATAATTGGATTTTGAGTAATTTTTTAAACTAAAAATATTAACTCTAATTTTTGAATGGAAATTTTAGCTTTGTTATTGAAATAAAATATAAGGTCTATAAAGATAATTTTAGTAACGTTGACACGATAATAAGCCAAGATAAGGATAAGAATATTGACAAAGATTGGTTGTAACGGGATTTTGAACCTCATATTCCTCTCTGCGTTTTCCTAATTTTTTAACAAATTATAGCACATCAATTACTTAATGACGATCATTTTAACCATTATGGTTTTAATCGTTCTTCACGTAACAAGTATTATTTTCGGATATGCTGATGCTTTTCCCAAGCTTATCACGGCGAAAACACGATTGAGGTATAGGTAATGCATTTAATTGAAACATGAAACCCTGCTTCAGTGCTACCCGCCTCCTTTTCGCTGTTTATTCTAGTCTCTAATGGATTGTTCGAGCTGTTCAATAAAATGACATGAAGCGTACTATTTTGTATACACGTAATATTAATTTTATCCTTAACCGACTATTTGTGAAAGCATTACGAGATTAAATCAAATAAAACAAATATGCCTAATTGTTAACACACATGATTGGTTTTACCAATATCACAAAATTTATGTCCAATGTAAATTCCAAAATAATGTGATTTATTATCGTAGTTTATTTTAGTAATTCACGAGTAGGTTGAAGTAAATATTTCAATTTCTCCGCTTCATTATCGTTTTAAACTGGATAAGATTGATTCACATTTTTTTATGTGGAGGTGTAAGTGTTTCTTAAGAAACTTTAGAGTACCATGACCTAGAAAGAACCTCAAGTCGCCCATCGTAAAGCCACATGGAGTTTCTTTAGTAGTTTATTTCATTATATTTTCGAAGAAACTTGACGTTTCCTCACAATTATTTGTGAACTGTTTACAATTTCTTGTACTTATCGTAGTCATTGTAGGTACGCGGATGGTTAGTTAGTTACCTGTAAAATGACTGCCTACTCAACGTTAACATTCTAGCGAAAACGACCTTGGGCTACCTCGTATTTATCTTTTTCATTTAATAAAATATTAACAGTCGTCGCGATTATGCCGATTCTACTATCTGGAAGACAAGCGCCTCCGATATAATTTCATATTCGATACTTTTCCTGAAATTTTGTTATATATAATCGCGTGAAAGTGCGACAAGTTGCGCAGCCGTGATCGACGAGATAACGCGAATGTTAGATAATTGCACTTTTGTTACTTTTTGTTTCGATGTGTGTGTTTGTGCTCTCTAGTCATTCCTCATACGCTGGCTGTGATATTTTTCCATATCAGTTGCGCAATCATCGCCATTGTACCAAATCCAAAGGAAATAGTCGACCATAGAGTAATGGAAATGAACAGTACTGTTGACGGTAACGCGGCGGTGATCCGATCGGCAGGTAAACCTCCAGTGAATTGAATCGAAACTCTCTTGCGACAAAAACAAATTAGTGCCCGTATTGTTTGATCATTTTGCCGAAATTAACATATACCTTTTTTAATTATTTGATCATCATACGATATAAGATTGCGCAGTGCCAATAACAGCCTTATCTATTAATTTGTAATCAGATGTAAGCTTATCTAATCTTTGGCTGGTTCGTGTAGCTGTGGAAGTAACGAAACGGTAATTTTTTTTCTCATTTGTTCCAAAACAAAATAACTTTATTTTATAACTCGATTAAATAGTTTACTTAGAAAAATTTAACGAAAAACTAGGAAAAAAGTGTATCCAATCAACTATACATCATAAAAAATTATTATTAAATAATCACGCTCTTTTTATAGATAGCACATTCCAGTATATTTTCAAAGGAAATTGAATCACTCTTTATCTGATATTTTGGCGTAAATTTCTCAACAAATTTATTAGTTACCAACAAAACGTGCTATTTATATAACACTACATAATACTCAATTCGGCAAATTGATTGTAACAATAATGTGCTGTGTTTTTTTTTGTAATGTGTGTAAAAGTATCATACGTGTCTGTGTTTAGGTTTCGCTTTGCTTGTGTCCTGCTGGGGGAAATGTTTCGATTGAAAGGAATCGCAACTAAATAATATCTTTGTTCTATGCAGAATTGAATGATGAACGGGAAAATCAGTCCATGGAGTAAGAGCAGCCACGATGCAGGGTTGATAATGTTGAAGAATAGAAGAGAGGAAATTACGAACGCAGGAAAATATTCGGAACGATATAAAGACATTTTTTCGCATGACGTTCCCGACAAAGATAAATTTCCATTGAGTGCGAAGTGTCGTAACACCATGGAATTGTATCGTAAACTCTCAAAAGGGGAGAAGTCCGATGACTCTCCCATGTTAACGACCGAGAAAATGCGCTTAAATGTAGTGAACAAAAGTAACGCTACCAATGATCTAAATAAACAAGAAAACGCCCTTATAGGATACAAACACGTGCCCGAAGGAACTCTCAAACCCAACGCAACTCCCCCTACAACTACTCCCAAAACGCCTAAATGGACTAAGAAAAGTGTTAATGTTTATAGTGTTAATACCCCTCCACCGAGCCCAGTTAATACACCCCCTGTTGCTTTAAGTTCAATTCTCAGTAACAACAACAATTTCGATAACACCCTAGCTCATCTACAAAACGTCGAAAGCATCATCAGCAAATTAGACGAGCAAGAGAAAAAGGAACAAAATCTAAAGAAATTCGAAGATTTACTAATGAAATTCAATCCCAAACCTGTGGTTAAAGCCAAGAAAGTTTCGCCAACGCCCATCGACTTCGGAGCTGAACATAAACAAGACACCAACAAAAAATCTGAGGACGAACTAAATTCCAACGGGCATCTTCTCAGTCCCATCAAGCACTGCAGCGAAGTGGAGGATCTTCCTGCGAGAGGCCTCAACGAAGAACACCACGTGCCTGCACAAGCATTCGACAGAAACACCAAAGAAAGGAAAAGCATCGACCAGCACATGAAAGAGTACAAGCCTAAACCTAGGCAGGCTGAACCTCTAACTAGAAGAGCATCGGACGTGCAGGATAAACCTGTCGGTAATATTAAAAGACAAAGTAGGATATCTAAGGATCGACTTTCACGTAAAGTAAGTTTTTCACGTATATTATGCGAATTATCGAGTCATATTTTATCGTTTAATTTTTTTATGGAGATGTTTGCATCGAGTAAACATTCGCAAATTCGACACGTGAAACTGTGGGAACGGCGCGCGTGATTATACAATTTCACCAAAGAAAATAACAATGAAGCTATTAATTGAACTATTTCAGTTATTATTTGATCAAAACGGGCCTCGATGTATCGAAATATCGATGTTATTCAAATACCGTTTTGACGAATTTTAAATCATACATCATAATGTTTTCAACAATATAATTGTTTTCTAAAATTTGCACGTTTCTCAATTATGATTTGCCGCCGAATTGAATTGTCAATTTGTTTAAAATACTTTCTCAAGTTTAGAAAATTGTTCGGGTACAATAATGCAACATTTCAGGTAGATTTTACAACTTAACAAAAGCGAGCAAAAATTATTTTTAAGTAGCAGGTAAAAATAGTATTTTATCTCCTTCAACTTGGAGACAAAGTGTTTACGAAAATGATTTACATTCATTCGGCCATTTAAATATGAATAAAGACAATTTATTTATCGGCATCTGATAACGCGGTGATTAAGATTTGAAATTTTAATAATTATTATTAAAGTAAAAAATATATATTTTATCCATTTTAATCTCGCCTGCATACATTTAAGGACGCAAAAAATAATCAAAAAAATGTAATGCACAATTAGTAATCGGAATATTAAATTCAACCTTCGCGAGTAGAAAATATCATCCAATTAATTTAGGTTCGTTATTTGTATTTAAATAATGTTCTCTTTATGTATTCTGGGTAGCAAGCGTATCGATGTAACTTGAATATTAAAAATTGCTTTGCGTTTATTATTCCATTATTATTTTATGCAAATGACGTTAGAGACGCGGGATCGGCATTATACTTCGATAAAGAACCCACTTTCTAAAAAAGAATGTTCGGCGTTGCATCCTTTGTTGACGATTCAAATGGATTGATAACATTTTAAATAATCAATTCGATACAGAAAGCCTGTGTATGACACGTTGAAAATTTCATTTGCAAAATCAATATGAATGATAAAAAAATGAAATGGTGCATATCTGTTGCGTTGCTTCCTGTTTAAACACCATCAGGAATATTAACGTGCGTTTTATTATTGCTGAACCCATTTGTATAATTAATTGACTATTGCACATACGAGTACACGCTTTTTTTGCAATCTATTAAACATATCAACTACCCGTTTTATCTCAATATTTCGTATCAATAGATATTACTTATATTTATCTAACTAAACGAGTATAATAACAAATAAAGTAGTCATTAAATTGATTCAAAGCGAAATGTAAAGATAAATTTAAAAATTTGTCAAAAAGTGAAAACATGTGCAGGAATAATCTGATAAACTGTTTATGGCAAATAATAGGTTTCTTCCTTTCGGTACGTTTCATTAGATCAGCAATAAATTAAAGGTTTTAGAGTTGATCGAGTAGGTGAAATTGTCTCCCATTACGGAGGCGTAACCTCAAGGTAACGCAACAAAACGAAGTTTATTTAAATACCGTCGATTATGTAATGTAAATCGAGTAAGCCAGTTATTCTATTAAGGCTTCTTATACCTTATTGTTATTTTAACATCGTTAGATATAAAAAAGAGAAGAATAGGTTAATGCCTCGTTAAGATGCCAAAAATTGTGTATTTAAAATTGTCAATCGTATAAGGTATTTGACATGAAATGCAACAACAAACGCCTAAAAATAATGAAAGGGCTTGCAAGTTCAATTCTCGCCTGTGAACGATTTCTACCCGCTATTTTCCCATCATGATTTGCTCATCTTTTTCCGTGCAACCGGCATTGAAAAAATGGTTATACAATAGGCAAAGAATGAAGAAAACTTTTGCGGTAAACATTTCAAAAATTGTAAGTAAATTACATCGGTAGAAATTTCTACAAGCAGTCTGAAATTAAACGACGCGATTTTTTATATTCCATCAATATTTATAGGGAATGTTTTCCGATGTTATGCAGATTGGCGGTGCTTCGGTGTACCGCGAATAATGCGATGAACGTTTAAAAAAGTACTGAAAGCACCGCGAATTATGTAGAAAGTTATTTTACAATGGACTTAGTTTTACATATAAGTACATGGATTGTTAGTTATTTTATAAATTTTACTTATTTTAAATTCCGATTGTTGTACTAAAATGTATTATCCTTAGGCATTTTGTGATGACATCAATTTTATTAACAGTATTTATTGGTAATTATTTTCACTTTTGAGTGAGTCACTACCTACCTACCTATTATGAAGTTCCATAAATTATAATTTCTCCGCTGAGTGTACAAACAAATTTCATAAACACAAAAACTCGCCTCTACAAATTAAATCCAAAGTTAAAAACATTCGAAATTGTTAGAGCAGCACGTCCTGTTTACCATTAAACAATAATAACAGTACCAAACGATTTAGCAAAAAAAGCCAATAACCTACCGTAATTATTTCACCAATTAATACCGTCATCGCGATTGTTGCAGAGCAATGACAGCACCGTGGAGTCGACGCGCAGCAGTTCCGCATCGATGCGGAATCGCCCCCGTTTCGGAGACGAACCCACCATCGGTAAATACAAGCTACTCAAGACCATCGGCAAGGGGAACTTCGCCAAAGTCAAATTGGCCAAGCACGTGCCCACCGGCAAGGAGGTCGCCATCAAGATCATCGATAAGACCCAGCTGACGCCCGGTTCACTTCAAAAACTATTTAGAGAAGTAAGTTCTTTGCTTCGACCTTTCGATGTTTAGGAATTATATTGTTATGCAATTTATTTGTAGGTAAGGATAATGAAAATGCTAGACCATCCGAATATAGTGAAACTATTTCAAGTGATTGAAACTGAAAAAACTTTGTACCTGGTAATGGAATACGCATCGGGAGGTGAAGTGTTCGACTACCTTGTCCTGCACGGAAGGATGAAGGAGAAGGAGGCTCGAGCGAAGTTTAGGCAAATCGTCTCTGCAGTACAATACTGCCATCAAAAAAGAATTATACACAGGTTAGAAACGAGATGAACGGGATGAAACTAGATAAAACTAATGATTTTTGTAGAGATTTAAAGGCTGAAAACTTACTGTTGGATAGTGAAATGAACATAAAAATCGCCGATTTCGGCTTCTCAAACGAATTTACCCCAGGAAGTAAATTAGATACTTTTTGCGGGAGTCCCCCATATGCAGCTCCTGAACTTTTTCAAGTAAGTAATCTAAGTTTCCAATTAATCCGAACTAAAAGAATTAGTCCTGTGTCATTCTGAATCTTTTGTACTACTGTAAACAAGATCTTGTAGTACTTTTGAAACAAACTTATCAACTTAACTGATTATCCTAAGAGTCCCAACTGATGGTTCCAAAAGTCTTGCATCGTTTCGAATCTTTTGTACCATTGCATAAAAAGGATCTTGTACTTTTGGAACAAACCTATCGACTGAATTCTTTAATTTATGTACGTTTTAGGGTAAAAAATACGACGGCCCCGAAGTGGACGTCTGGTCGTTAGGAGTGATCTTATATACCTTAGTCTCTGGCAGTCTACCATTCGACGGTTCAACGCTACGAGAGCTAAGGGAACGAGTGCTACGCGGCAAATATCGAATCCCGTTTTACATGAGCACCGATTGCGAGAACCTCCTCAAGAAGTTCCTCGTATTGAATCCGGCGAAACGGGCCAGTTTGGAGACCATCATGAAAGACAAGTGGATGAACCAGGGGTATGTCGGGTTAGTTAAGTTGGTACTAATCGATGTCGTCTGTAGATTTGTTGATTAGTGAATAGAGTTTCTGTTCGCTTTTGTAGATAGTCGATGTTTTAGGAAAAGTTTCGCGGAATTAATTCGATTATAAATGTTAACAAATTTCGCAAATATGCAGTTATTTTTATACTTTTTGCTTCTAGTTTTAGATGTGTTAAAGTCGTTTAATTCGTATAGTACACACCATCCCTATTATTACAATTGTCTAACTCTTCAGTCAATATTTTCTAAGTGAATAACATTTAAATTTCAAATTCAAGAATTTAAAATTCAACACAATTCAAACGCTACATTTTTAGATTTTTATACCCCTAAAATTGAAATTCTATTGAAACTTATACATACATACATCCCTGTAGAAGCTATACGAAGCTGTTTGTACCCAATCTAACAAACCAGCCCGGCATTCAACGTGTCTCGATTTTGTTTAGGTACGAAAACGACGAATTGAAACCGTACGTGGAGCCGGAGCAGGACATGAGCGACCCGAAACGGATCGAAGCCTTAGTGTGTTTAGGATTTAACAGATACGACGTCGAAAATTCGCTGGATTCCCAGAAATACGACGACGCTTTCGCGACGTACCTACTATTAGGAAGGAAAAGTATAGATGTAAGTTCCTCTACTTCTTCTATTTCTTCTGAAATAGAACTCCGATTTGTGTGGTGGTGAGAATGAAGAAACTTGCAAACAAATTAACACTAATTCTCCATGCACTTGTCTTGTACTTTGTGAACTATTCAATCACACCGTTTGTTAATCGTCGTTTGCTATATCACACTTGTATAGCACCAACAACATATTTGTAAAGAGCAATCAATGCAAATTGTTCTATAACAATTGTATTAATTTTTTTAGCCGGAAAGTGATGGAAGCAGAAGCGGTAGTAGCCTGTCGCTGCGAAACATGACAGGACAACAGCAGGCGACTCCACAACCTGCCGTCCAGAGCCCCCAACACAAGGGGGTACATCGCTCAATATCAGCGACGCACGCCAAACCGAACAGAAGGGCTTCTAGCGGAGGTCAGTGGAATTTTCCCGGGTCGAAACGCGCCCGTTTTGGTTTCTATTTTCTGTTGGTTCGCTGTCTTTTGCGACCTGCTTTTTTATCTATTGCACAGCTTAGTTTTCTAAATGTATTGTACATAAGTATCACGCACTTTCCTCTTTATTTATAAAAAAAGCAGGTTGGAAAAATGAAGCTTTGGTTTTATTCGTTGTTGTTGTGTTAACTGACCGGTTTTTTTCTCTGTTGTTTTCAGGAGGAACGATAGGTAGGTGTTTGTTGGTTGTTAGATGAAGTAGTTTGTGAGTACACCTCGGAAGTATGGGACTCTATTTCGAGGAAGGTGTTGTAAATAATTGTCGGTTTGCAAAAATAATTCATTCCATGTGGTTATTAGTAGTTTAAACTTATTTTATTCGATTATTATACCCTATTTACAACTATGGAGAGATTTACATTCACATTTCTTACAATAGTTGAAAATTGAGTATAATGATCGGTTAACTTCACTAACATTCTTTCTTCGTTTATTTCTATTAATACCTAATGGAATATGCTCGATTTTTCGTTGACAAATCGCGCTAAAAGGCACATTTTCTTTAGGGGAAACACTAAGAACGGGCGCTCAACCACAAGTACCTGCCTCGCAAATAAACAACCAACAATCCTCCGGTTTCAAACGACAAAATACAGTCGACAGTGCTACGATTAAAGAGAACAGCGCCAGACTTAACGCCAGACCTGCCAGTGCTCAACCCAAAAGTACCACCGAAAATAGTAAGTGGTTTCGAAAAGCGAAACCTTTCGAAATCAATGCGAAGTCTATTGTCGTTTTAACATTTTTTTACCTCCCTTTACGTTCTGTCAACTGTCTAAAATAATGCACAGTGAAGCTGATCGTTTACGGTGCACCATGTTTGTATTAACATGATGTGAATTAACCAGTGTATTTATTTACTTCGACACCATTTCTAGTCGAACTTAAAAATAATTGTTTTGAATAATCACTCAAATTCGTCATAGGAATTAGAAATGGTGATGATAAAGTAAAATAGCATTACAATGAAGTTAATATGTTTCCAATTTTAAGGAAAAAACGGTAGTGAACACAAGAATCGAGGGGTTGTGGTTGATCAACAAAATGTTAGGTTAACAGTTGGGGATATTGTGTTGGCGCCCTCTTTAGGATTGCGATTTCAAGGTTAGTAAATTGAACAGCATGGAAACGCCTATGAACCTGGAAAAATAATCTTACTATCACTCTAACCTTCCGTTGTACATTGGAGATGTTCAGAACCATTTCGCGTTAAACAGGAGAATAATTTCGAAACGAAATGCGGCTTTTGCATGCGCATAGACTGTAATATTTATGGGACGCATTCTAATATTTAAATTTCGATATTATCGAGTATATTTTGGATAGTTGACAGAGGTAAGATGGTAAAATTGCAGCAAAAATGTTTACGCGAATGATATTTAAAACAATTAAAGAGCTAACTGTATATCAAACAATTTAAACGAACGGAGGATTCCTTATTATTATATTAAACGTTGTAAATGGAAATATCCGTTCATTTAAATTCGTGTTATTTATCACGAAAGAGATGCTTTTATCATACATCACGATCATTCATCGGTATCGACATTTATTTATTTTAATTCTCAAATTCCACGTTACATCATTCGCTTTTTTTTGGTCTTCGTTAATTTCGATTACAACCCGATTACGATCTCCCGCTCCTGTTTAATTTTATCTCGTCCATTTTTGTTAGTGTAGCGTCTATCTTCCATTTTTTTTGTTTTTTTCACATTAGGTATACAAGCTCCGACTAAAACTCGAACTGTATTTAAGAACCAACCATTATCTTTAGGCCGACGATCTACGATAAGCTACGATGGCAAATCGGATAGCACGGAAAAAACGAATTTGAACACCTCCGACATACCAGGGTGAGTTCATTTCTTATTTGATATTTTAATTATTTAACATTTGGTCACTTGTATCAACTAGACTCAAAGTTTGATACAAACTATTATTAATAGGAAGAGAGTCTGTATAGAATCCTATTTTTGTTAAATATGTCCCAGTAGGGTTCTAATAGTAATAAATAAAATGCTAGTAAAGTTTACTCTACTGGGACATCTGATTTTCATACTTAGGAGGAATCTAGTAAGATCTCTCTGAGTTTATATTTGAGTATAGTTTTTATATTGTATGTTACGGGGTAAAGTTAGATAAACGACTAAACTTAGGGATTATCCAGCTTTATTTGTAACATATATCTTTAAAATAAAGTGTTTTTGTACCAATTTGACTTCTCGTTAGACTTGATTTTATAGTTAATTTAGTGACTATAAGATGACTACAAAAAATGTAAATTAATTTAACGCTAGAAATAATCATAGTAGATTAGTAATATTTATTCGTCACACCTTTTAACCTTTGTGTAATAGTTTCGACAACCCTTCGTAATGTTTTAATGACGAGATTTAGCTACAATAACTGTAAATAGTAGCGTCCAATTTACGCCCGTTTCCCGATATTTGATACTTTCCCCTAAAAAAATCTAAACTAAAATTGTATTGTTTTGCTAACCGCATGCGCAGTCCTGACGCTATTGGTGCCGGGGACAGTTTACGGCCTGGAAAGGGTCACGTAAAATCGGCCTCGGTCAGTAGCAGCGGCCCCGAGCCGGCTACTGACCCATTGCGTACTAGGTAGGTCGTTAGGCTTGGGACATTTAGGTCTGTTACTAGATTTTGCAAAAAAAAACGTACATTTTCATTCGTAAGATTCACTAAATTTCAATACTAAATGTGATTTAGATTCACTAAATTTAATACACAAATGTGAACATGTATGTTTTTATTTTTCTAATTTATGTTCGTATTTAGAAACCTTTGTACAGGGTGTCTCGTACTTTTTTCTTCGCATAGACCTTTTAATTCTAAGCAACTTCAAGTAAAATTTTTTAATATTTTGGAAAATAAGAGAGCATGTTTTTTTCTAATTTTTAATTATTAAAAAGTTAGTTAACACGGCTCTGTTTATTAAAAGTTAAAGGAACTGCTCAAAATAGTTAAAAATATACGAAATTTAAAGAACTTTTAAAAATTTCCAGCTTTTTTATTCTCCAGAATATTAAAAAAGTGTACTTGAAAAAGTTGCTTAGAATTAAAAGATCTATACGCCGTTAAAAAAAGTACTTATGAGACACCCTGTTTTGCTTACTCCCCCTGTTAATTAACCCCTATCCCACAATCATCCCTATTTATAATTAGTACCCAATTGGCTAGCACACAAATTTCGCATCCTATTTTCGCTTGCAACGTGGATTTCTAATAAATTATTGAACGTTTTTAGCCGCACAAGTGCTTCGCCTGCGGTGACTAGGCAGCAAGCTTTCCCCAGAAACACGTCTTCTAGGAGCACCTTCCACTCGGGCCAGACGAGACCGAGGGCGACCTACGCACAGGGCTCTCCCGGAGATTCACCGCACACGAGACCGTCGTTTTTTTCAAAATTTAGCCTCAAGGGTTTCACGAAAAGGTGAGTCGTTTTCGATTTTTTTTTGTTCCTTCGGACTATTAGATATACTCGAAGTGAAAGTAATGAACCGAACGTGTTCGGGGGTTCGTTCAAATACGGTATTCGTGCATCTTCTGTTAGACAGAGGGTGCGTATTTAACACTTAATTACACTTGTGGAGGTTATGGGTTCATTATTTTGCACTATTCACATGTTTTTACAGTTCATATTTTGTCTCGTGCACTAATAAAACTAACACCATCTTCACCGTATTTACCTTTCTCTTACCTCTTTTTTGTTGTTTGTTAACTAAATGCTTTGTTTAAATTGTTTAGTGAGTTTTGATATGTTTTTTTTTCTCTAATAAATTATACTTATGTACAAAAAAATGTAATACGTTTCTTATACAATATGTTTCCTTTTTATTTGCATTTGTCTGATTTTATTGATTGATTTACAAAAGGAAACATAATTGTATTACGAAGCTACACTAGATGTAATATTTAAAATAAAAATGCTTCCTTGCTTTGCTTCGATGTAAAAAGTTCGCTTAAAAACCAGAAAATGTTTATTTTTTATTATTGTAAATATTTCGCTCTGCTGCATCATAAACAAGACAACAATGTTTAATAAAGATTTGTGTAAATTGGTAAATCCTGAGGGTAGTAAAAAATTGTTGTCTATTTTATACGATTTTGTGTTAACATATTTTTTGTTTCCGAATTTTAATCGTCATTACAAGGTCATTACGCGGTCATTTTTTATTTTAATCACAGTAAAAAATGTTCTTGCACTAAGCAAAGTTTCTTTGATTTGTCGTTTCGTTGTTCGTTTGATTCTTTTTTCTTTGATTTGTATGCAAATTAGAGTTGCCACTTTTCTTGTAATTCTATTGTACACACACGAAAACAATACAACACAATTTCGGTAGGATATGCGAGGAGAGATAACCCAGCGAAAGAAGAGGAAAAAAATGACGAAAAATATACCAATTAAAATTGGGATAGAAATTCCATAAATTTAACTGGCATATTTCGTAATGTAGAGTACATAGAAAATATTGTTGACGAGTAAAATACGCCGAATTTGTGAAATCGTCCTTTATGCATTTGCTGTAATGCTTTGTAATGACTGTTTCTATTTTATTTTGGGATTATATGTATGCGAGTGGTGCGTCCCTTGAAAATCTGCCATCTTTCCTACATCAAAATTAAAAAAAAAACAATTAAGCGTGTTTGTTGTTGACATCGTGTTCTCTTGGTTCAGGAGGAGAGAAATTTCGGGGGACGTACCACCGCACCAGGAAGCTTCTCCTCCAGAGTAATCGACGGGTTTCACGCACGAATATACCAGTAACCTCCCCCGGTCTTCCACGGATAACGATCGAAAAAACGAATGCTCGTCAGAGTAGGAAGGTTTGGACGTGCAAACGGAGAAGAGCTTAGAGAAAAGTGATATTAGATTGTACGCGGAGCCGGTGTCTTTATTATTTCTCTCCTTATTCTATTTGCAGCAGCTGTGCGTTGTAGACTATAATGTAATAATGAATATGTAGATTAGAAATTGTTTTAATTTTTATTTAGATGTAAATAGGGAGTGTACGCTAATTTTCTTAACTAAAAAATACGTTACACTCGCTCGTACTTCAAGTTTGGGGTGTACATAAATTTGAAGTATGGATAATTTTTAGTTTTCTTCATTTGAAGCAAACGATTGTATTAACTGCTGGCTGTATAAAACATATTTCTTCGTAGTTTTTAGTGCCAAAGAAATGAAAGAGTTTATAATTAAAATAGTTGAAAGAAGCATTTTGTGAGGTTTAAGAATACCTCACGATGATAATTTTATTGGGATTCATAGAGAGTGTTGGATAATTTCTAATGTAATTTATACAATTATAATTTCAATTTCGATTATTTGCTCTCAATTTTCCTACACTTTATAGAAAATTATTTAGTAATTATTGCATGTTCATATCCTACAATTGGATTTTGATTTAGTTTTGTTACAATTAAGTATTAATGTTATTATCATTTACTTTGTCATACAATGTAAATTAACGTTATAAGTTTAATATAGTTGGTATTATTAATTGCTCGTAGAGTTTATTTCTTAGTATTTAAGTCGATGACATTTAAGAGGTAGAAGAAATTAAACACAAAAGTGGTTTGTTGGTAAAAATAGTGCCGTGATACAAAAGTGAAGATATAAAAAACCCGCATTGCTCTGTAAATATTACGATTTTTTCTGTTATTTTTTTCTTTTGTTGAAACGAGTGATTAATACGATTTAACAACTGCACCTACATAGTGGATTCAAGAGGGCTTAGATTTGCGCATTCTTCTCCTTTTTATTTTTTTTATATAATATTTGTTTCCCTTTTTTTAGTGACAGAAGTCATCTTGAATCTAACCAAACTGGCCCGACAAACAGAGCTTTGTGAGTACCAATTTTTTAATTATATATAAAATTTTTATACGCACCTTCTTCTCGCCCTCTGTCTTCTAATCCCAAATCGGCAGAACTGGAAGATGAAGATGATTAGATTTATTAGTGGGTGTTTTTTTTATATTACGAAAAAATTTGTAATAAGAAAGGATATTTGTCATAAAAAATCGACCATTAACCCAGCATGTCCTTTCGATATTAATGGAACTGATACATTACCCGCATCAGGCATCACTAATAATCACTTTCCTCTATCGATTCTACTTTTATTTTCAGAGCGTTAGAACCTGGTCAACAAGTTAAACATGGTAACTCACCTTTACCTACAGTGGGGTAAGTTTGAAAAAGCGAAACTTCTATACTTAAAAAAAATCGCAGGATATATTCCTGAGAAGTTTCACTTAGAAAATAAGAGTGGTTTTAGAACAGTGGGTAAATGGTAAACTTTCTCACCGGTAAGAAAGTCCTTTTCATATTAAATTCTTTGTCATTATTAAAAATGTATTGTCTTAACCGTTGCATCAGCATTGAAATTAACACGTCAATTATTAACTCTGTTGTGTGTGAATGTTTAAATTCTGGTTTTAGTACAGAATAACCGAAATATTTGAAGAAGTTTAAGGATCAATTTACAACTTCCTATGTGACTAAATAAACTTGTATTGTTAAATTGTTAGTATTCTTTACATTCCGACTTTAGTACAAAATAAAACGCCTCAATAAATAGTCGAGACCCGTTTGAAGCAGTCGCCATATAAGTCGACAAATTTGTGATATTAATATCGAATTTTTTGCAGGGTGCAAGGCGCGCCCAACGAGGAGCACGTGAAGCCGCGCTCGTTGCGCTTCACCTGGTCGATGAAGACGACGTCGAGCCGAGACCCGGCCGAGATAATGGCCGAAATACGCAAGGTCTTGGACGCGAACAATTGCGACTACGAACAACGCGAGCGATTCCTTTTGCTCTGCGTGCACGGCGATCCCAACACGGACAGCTTGGTGCAATGGGAGATCGAGGTGTGCAAACTGCCGCGGCTGTCGCTCAACGGCGTCAGATTCAAGAGAATTTCGGGTAAGTTTACTTATTCTATCGCCTCTTACGGTCGTTTTCGTAAACAATACTTTAACTTCAAAGGGTCCTTTCATAGATTCAAAATAATTGATAACTGTAAATGCAACTTTATGCCAGTTATGTACATCTACAGTTGGTGCAAAACAAACATCAATTCACGTCCCAAGTAGGCAGTGTTGCTGAACTTTCATACAGTTTACAAAATCGAAGAATATTCTAAAATTGTCATGGCAAAATGACAAGAACAAAATCATCCCTTGTTAATATTAAATTAAATTCTGCAAGTATTAAGCTTAATCTATTTTGTGTATTTATTTTCAAAAGTTTGTCACAATTCTTGGCAAGTATGACGACAGTAGTAACATGCATTGATATTCGTTTTGCACCGACTATAGTTAGAATACTATTTTACTATATTAACGCGTTGTTTTTTTGTTTGTAGGAACCAGTATTGGATTCAAAAATATCGCTAGCAAGATAGCAAACGAACTGAAGCTGTGACTGCTCGTCAATGAGCCGCAACTAGCCAGCGAGCCAACGTAGAAATCAATTTTAAAATTATGTGAAATACATTGAAACAGAAAATTAAGCATCAGCAGCAGAAATTTGTAGCGACTTCCACCTAACAAAAAAACTAGTTAACAATACAATACTTAGTGTTTTCGGAAAAGCGTGTACCCGGTTGCCTGCGAAAATTGTTTTTTTCACGAGGAAATACTCGGAGGACGAGGAAACGACCACCGAAAACGTTTCGGCGCTTCACTCTCACTGTATTTTTCGAATACCGCTAAACAGATTTTTTTTAGTTGTTAAGATTTATATTCAGACTCGGTTTACTTGTGATATGTGGAATTGACAAAGGTTATACGAATTTCTACGGCTTGATATTCAGGGTGTACTAACACTTGTTTAATATTTTTTAATATATGAAAATATAATGCATGAAATTATTGTAAATTTAAATATATGAACTACTTCATTATCTATGAAACATCACCATATAAAAATTGCTTTTTCATTGTTGGTACACCGTGAAAATATACGGATGATATTTATACCTAAACGTTTCGTTCTTTTTATTTCCGATAGAATTTTCAAAGACTTTAAATCGTGGATTGACATTAAGTGGTACTTGATTAGTCTTACGTTTAAAAAACGCATTAAAAACAAAGCATAATTATCTTGTATTATTTTATAATGAGTCATAAAAATATTTATTGTAATTGTTTCTTTGGATTTAGCCTTTACTTAATTATTTTTTTTCGTTTTATTACATTTCTTGCATTATTAGTGTGCACTGTGCGTTGGATTTTAGAGTCATAATCTTAGAAACAAAAAGGCCAAAATCCTTTAGTTGATGGTTGAATGTCTTAAACTTGCGAGAAATATTGGTAAAAGAATATTCCTCTTGTTTTGAGTCATTTAATTCGCGTGTACAGATCATGTTCAAACTTATAACCAATTCGACTGTCGCCTAGTCGTTGCGCTTATAATTTTTTACGTGATTTTTATAAATTTAGTGCGATTCCCTGAGTTACAAATTAATGGACGTTTAGCGTTGGGCGAGCACTTGAAAACCCGTTTTTTTTGTTTCTCTCAATTTGAATAAAATTTGTAAATATCGTGTGAAAGTTGCGTGCAAGACTGAATGATTAAAAATTACAACTTTTAACAAAATTTACTGCATTTGCATTTGTCAGGTTAACAGAAATTTCGCAAATCTGCTTGACCAAATTTATTTTACGTGCAAGACATTTCCCCGCGAGAGCGGAAATGAGCTGAAATTCCCAGTGTATCACTAAAATTATCATCGTTGAATTTTGTTGTGCTACTTTATTTAATTAGGAAAACTCTTGCACTGAAAAATCGTGATAGTGACTCTACTCTTTGCCATGTGCTCGAACCGGAGTCGTTTGCTTTGGATTAAAAGTAGACATTAAATGTATCAAGGTACAAGGTTTATAAACGACTAAATTAATCAATGTACATACATATAAGTAGTAATGGTACTAACTGTACAACTGCAGAAAATTTACGGAACTGAATTTTAACTGTACGAAGGGACATTACAATAGGCGATCACGTTATTTATAAAGAAATCTTTATATTGTATATAAATTAAAGGTAAAATCAATCGAGTGAAATATTGTGTTGCATTGGAACAAGTTCTTTGTAAAACTGAAATTATGCAATTCTCAGCTACGGTATTTTGATAAAGGGATAACGTTTCTCCAATGGGATGAAAAAAATCCCAGCCAAAATGCTTAGTTTTATGGAGGGTTTGAATTCCCCGTTTTAGACGAAATAATTCACGTCTATTACCATGTAATACGTTCTGTATAGTATAATAAAATAGAAGATGCAATAATTTGAGATAAGTAAAATTCATCGGTAAATTTCCAAATTCCCATCGTAGGTCTAAATTAGCGTATGTTTAAAAACTTTTTTTTTCGTAAAATTTGTATGTATTGAAACAAAGGCAGAGTTTATTATGAGTTAATTCAGTTCAAGTTTTTCAAAAACGTTTTCGTCATTATTGTACAATTTGTTTTGTAAATTCTGTCTTAATAGTTTCATCAGTCAATCTTGCTCAGGCATTAAAATTCTCGATTTTCCTGTAAAATGTGAATGTAGTATATTCATTAACCTAAAGAATTGTCGGATAATGTTCATCATGAGTGTACTTAGAAGAATAAAAATGAAATGAACTCCATCTTCACCTTGTTAATAAAATAATAGCCTTACTCTTTCTGAACTAGTAAAAATATATAAGTCGTTCAATTCATTTCGACTTGTACAATAATATTAAAGATGCTTTTTTTATTAATTTAGGTTTGTATTATATTTTATATATATATTTTTGATTTTGCTAGTAGAAACAGTAAGGCCACGTTTCATTGGATTTATAATATAGAGTAATATACTTGAAGTATAATAATTGTTAGAAGAACAGCTTAGATTTAGTCGATTACGCTGTAAAGAGCATTGTTTGCTTTTCCATAAAAAAATACAAATCTTTCACTGGGGACGGGCACTTTATGTTAGTTAAGCTATTGATCATTTATAATAAAATTGAACTCATTACCGATGTATTTTTATTTAAATAATAAAGTCTCTTTTCGACAGTGTATTGTAGTTAGAAACCTACCAAGATGTTCGAAATTTCTCTCTAATTGACTTCAACATTCCACACCTAGTGTACAAGATGAACTTTAGAAAAAAATCATAGGGTAGGTATTGATAATAAATATATTTTGATTTTGAAACTTGCGAGTAGAACAGGGGTAATAATTTACGATGCCTATTGGTTAGGCAACCCATTATACAGATAAACAATATATTGATCTACTAACTGCTTACCTTGCCGAGGATAAACATTCACTAAAAATGGAACCTAGTTTAATCAAAGGCATTGTTTAAATAATTAAATATTTAATACTAACATAATTAAGGCATATTACAATTGTATGTATCGCCCTAAACAAGCTTGTCTTCTCTTACGAAAGAGAATATAATCAAAAAGGCACTGTCCACTTGGTCTCTATCAATTTTTCACATAAATATTATAATTTCTCATATATATAATAAATATATACTCAACATTTACAGAAATACCATATACAAATGAACAATATCGGTAAGTAATTAAAGTTAAATACTAAAAGTGATTAATTTTCTTATTTTTGTTGTACCTGAGTGCGAAAAAAAATTAATAAAGGTTGAGAATTGATTATATATCGAGGGCACACCTAAGATGACATAAATTAATTGTTTCAATTCTTGTTGAGTACCAATATCAATTTCATATTAAAAAATCCAATCGATTTTTGGATGTGCCAAGTACATTTTCCATTTTTTGTAATGTAGTAGTTACACACACATTCCAATTATAAAAATAATATGACAGAATTTTGTGAAAATGAAAAAAAAACGTGTACATTGCAAAAATTAGAATTAAAGGAACCAATGTTTATTTTTAAATAAAAAAATGCATTTACTGTGTGTAACAATCTACATTTTTTTTATTTTAATGATGCGTCATAAACCAAATTAAACAGCAAAATATTAATCTTAAAATGCTTGAAGGAGGACTACATTTGATATTGCAAATTATCCACGAACACTTTGAGCTACTTCAAAACCACGATAAAAATTTTAAACATGTTCCCTTTTTCAAACTTAACTGAAATACTGTTTTTTTGAAAACAATAAGGAAATTGAATAATTAAATTAAAAAATAGCCCAATTGTTACTGTTTCAATGTCAGGTAATGCGAAGAATAAATATTTTAATAAATAAAAAAATAGTTATGATTTTTAACAACAAATCCCTTGTGTGTCATTTATAACGTTTTAAGGGTAGGTATACCAAATTTTTACCTTCTATAAATTAGATGTTCAAATTAGATTATGTAATTTATTATTAATTTGGTATACCCTCAACGCATAAAGGAATTAACTTATGAATGCTCAGATAAATAAATTGTCAAGACAACTTACTATACAATCACCCAGCAAGAATTTCACTAAAAAAATTGACACTACATCCGGCACTATCCAACAAATCTATTTAACTGCGCATTTATTTATAAATCCCACGTTAAATGGAGGAACAGATTTTGTAGGGTGTAAACGAATATTATGCATAAGAACTATGAATAAGTGATACATCGATTAAAAAAAACTGAAAACCGGATACTTTCGACGTTTTAATTGCAACGTTGTCAATTTTTAATTTTCAAGCAAGATTCTAAATGTCAATTTAATGATGACAGAATGACATAAAAAAGAAGAAAATATCAAAATATTCTTTCGATTTACATAGTAGCCTATGGGAACGAGAAATGTATATTATCCGTAAACACCCTGCATTTTTCCAGCTAGCAAACTTGTTAAGACCCTTTTTCATTAAAAAAACTGTATAAAAGACATAAGAATAAATGAGAATTTACAAAAAAAAAACAATTTTCTAAGTATTGAATACGCATATTTACAATTTTTTGGTATTATTTATATTATTTCATCTTAATGCAGCGCTCGTCCCGCAATCAACTTCTACGGAATACACTCGATTTTCTTTCTTGCCTTAAAACATCATTAAACTAAAAATAAAAGCCGATTCGTTTTGTTTAAAGTATAATAGGTAGAAAATATACTCCGGGACACAACACCGAATTTAAAAAACATTCATCCTAACAAAGAAGTGCACTTAAAATCGCCCGTTTGATTTAGTGAAATAAAAATGGAATCAAAAATACGTCTACGATCCGCAGTCGAGTAGAAAGGCATACGAAGAAAATAATCAAAAGAATCTTCTTGCAGATCTATCAACAGTTGTTTTATGGGTTTATTATTAAAATTTGAGTAAAATATATTAGAATCTAGATCACAGTAGGCAATATTCAAAGTTTGACAGTTTGACGGAAGTGACATTTCGAAGTAGCATTCGATTTAGGTCAAATGTATCACTTACAGAACAATAAAATTAAGAGAAGAAGGTAGCAGATTAAAAGAAATTGGTAAATTTCTTGAAAATTGGATTGAGAACTTTCATATTAGAAGTAAATATTTAAATTTTGTCATTCTGATTTCTTTATTTATGACGCAAAAATTCCTAAGTGTGAAGTTCATTTGTTAGAATTTTCTGGAAGCAAATTTCGTAGTAAATAAAAATTTTCTTTACGCGCCTACTGTGACTTATGACGGATTATTACAGTAAGCATTGAATAAAATTGGTAATATTGGACATTTTCTTGTCATAAAAATTAATTGAAAACAAACTGTCGACTTCCCTGCAGATATTCTATCATCACAGCCTATCAAAAGTATCAATATATTACCAAATCGTTACGTAGTGCCTTTCGAAACAACAATAGAATCATCGAATAACCGAAATATGCAATTTGTTTTTATTTAATATTATTTGAAATTACCATTTTTATCACATTTAGATTTTATTTTTTTGGTAACAACTACTTCCCCGTATTTTCTAAAATCGTAAATATAAACTTTGATAAGTTCGCTCAAAACGTTCCGTATTTTAAATATTTTCTTACAAAAAAAAACCCAACGAGATTTGGCAGTAGTAAAATCATTTTATATAAAAAAAGTTATCGTTTAGAAAATACTTAAAATACTCTAATAACAAACAACTCGGGGGAGAGGTTACAAAATATCTGCACCTCAATTTCATTATATACTTCTATGACTTTGTGACTAATAAAACTAATTGAATGTGTACAGAAACGCCTACCGTGGGACCTTCTTCTTTTTTCTATTCGCTAAGGTCGTAGTTTTTCTAATTTTCGATTGCGGCGTATCCGGATGCTCGTCGGACGCGTTCAACTTCCTCTTTCTGGTCCTGTTGGGCAAGCAAATGAATTCCACCGGCGGTTCCCCGTCGATTTCTAACCTATTCCTTCTGATCCTTTCGCTCTGCCTCGTTTGCACGTAGACCTTCTTCTGCCGCCTCTTCTTCTCCGTCTTGCTATCGACGGAATTCTTATCGGACACGACGATGCCGCTGGAGCTAGTCGACTCGCGAATCGTGTCCGATATCCTCGATCCCGAACTGACGGAATCCTGATGCGGATTTCCTTCGTCCAGGTACCCGGCGACTCGGCTCTCGATCGCCTTCGACGCCGCCTTGCCCGCCTTCTTGTCGGGCTTCGATCGAGCCGGCGTCGCCAGGCCGCTCTTCAGCGAGCTCTCGCTGGTAAACGACGACGACGAGCTGTTGTTGTCCGACGAGCTCTTCTTCATGCGCCTGCGTTGCGCCAACTTGGCGGTGAGCACGTCCTGCAACCGGAAGCCCTCGCGCTGCGCTTGATGGAACGCGCTGAATGTGGTCTGCAGGGTCTTCTCGGCGGTGACGCCGAGCACGTCGGGCGTCATGAGAGGCGTTTGGGAGAAGTGCTGGCTGCCTTGGATCCAAGGATTCGTTTGGAGATCGGTCATCCTCAGTCTTTGGGACGGGTCGACGGTGAGGAGGCCCTCGACGACGAACTTGGCCTCCTGGCTGACGCCCTGCCAGTTCGGCGAATCGAAGCTGAAGTCGCCGTCTTTGATGCGCGTCATGATCGACGAGACGGTCTCGTCTCGGGATCGGGCGTGGAAGGGCGCCTTGCCGCACAACATCGTATATAAAATTACACCTAAGCTCCACAAATCACAGTTTTCATCGTAGCCTTCCGCGTCACCTTTCAATACTTCTGGAGCGGCGTACTGAAGGGTGAAACAAGGCGTGTGCAAGGACTCTTGTTCCTGCTTCAATCTGGCGAAGCCGAAGTCTATGATTTTGATTTCGGCGTCGTCGTCGTCGGTGGTGAATACCAAATTCTCCGGTTTCAGATCGCGATGGACCACGCCGCGAGAATGCATGAAATTCACGGCCGATACGAGCTTCCTCATTATACTCGACGCCTCGCATTCCGTGAATTTCGATTTCTTCCGTATCCTATCGAACAATTCGCCGCCTCTTAAGTACTCCATAACCAGGTACGTGTGACTTTCGTCTTGTATGACGTCCTGCAAGGTCACGATGTTCGCGTTCCCTTGACAAGCTCGCAGCAAATTGATTTCCTGCGTGCAATCTCGCGCCCTGCTGACGATTTTCACGGCGTACTCCTTGCCGATGTTCCTGTTCACGCACTTCCTGCATATCGAGAACGTCCCGTCGCCGAGGATCTCCTCGCTGAAGTCGATGTCGTAGACTTGGAAGAACGGGCTGTTGCTCAGCCGGAAGTTTTTGATGTTTTCGTGCTGTTTGCTCGGATTCAAAATGTCGTCGGATATTACGTTTTTGGTAAATAGCACAGACGGCGCCACGTAGGAGTAACCTTTGAATATCTTGTCGTAATTGGGCGGTACCACCGCCGGCGAATCCGTCGGAGGCATCGCCGTGAATTCCTCGCTGAAGTTCGATACGTCCAATTCGCTTCTATAAAAATAAAAATGCAATTAGAAAAATGGAAGATTATTAAGCGAAATGTGCTTGCCTAATAACTGGTTTGAACGGAGCTGGAATTTCCTTCTTCGCCAACATGTCCCAGTCTATGCAATTGAAGAAAGCGTGTCGTTTTAGTTCCCTGGCATCTTCTTCGCCGCCTCCTAGACGCCTTCTTGGATCTTTCACTAATAATTTACTAATAAAATCTGCTACATCTTCGCCTAAACCTGCAAAAATATAAACACTCAAACATCTCAAACTTCCCTTGAACGTATTTTATTCACTATCAAACTTTAAAAGTTTTACAAACTCACTTTCTGGAATAGGAGGAGTTGTTTTCAGGATTCTTCTCGAAATTTCCTGCTGCGTATTTTTCTCCCCTTCGACCGTAAACGGAGAAGCCCCGGTGAGAAGCTCATAGGTCAATACACCTACCGACCACCAATCGACGGCCTGAAATAAAAAAAAAAACAACCAAATTTACTACAAAATTATTGATCAAAAACATCTTTTCATCCGCTCGTTTCGCTACATAATATCCTTGCGCAATTAATTTTTATTGAAGAATTACCGTGAATGTGACCTGGAAAACGTGCCAACCTGTTGATATAGATTTAGATCTAGTGCAAGTGCTATGTGCCATGCCAGGCACTGTCATTATATGGAACAACGGTAGGTAATCAATGGATTAAAATTGCAATCGCTGGGAAACTTTACATTAAAACCACTCATTCCCGCAGAGCAGTTTCTGCGCTATTAATTTCATTAGACGCATTGAATAAAGAGCATTTTATGTGGATTTTCAATGTAAGAAATGGCTGATGTTTAATCTCGGATAACACGAACTTATACGTATCATGCTGGTGTTTGAATGATCGACTCGGGCATGAATATTCATGCAGCGTTGGAAAAACCGAAATATATGTCAATGTTATTTAATAATGTCATTTCTAGAACACATACTAATTATTATTTTTTTGTTGCGGTAAAATTATACAAGGTTCTCGAAAGAGTTTCAATTTAATTTTCCAGAAATCGCATGTAATGAACTTTCTTCGATTTTTAGCTACATGTCCTTCGGTGACAAAGGTCACGGTTGTTTACACACGATTTCAGGGAAAACACGATAATACAGTTTAAAAAAACCCTGTGGAATTATTTACTCTTGTGTACAGTAAAACATTCATAATATAAACGGTACAAAAGTTAAAAATAGCAATTAAAAAAATTATTCATAATTCAATTAACCTTCTTCTAGAAAAAAATTTCAATGATTTAAAGCACTTAATTAGTTTAAAACTTTCAACACGTGTGAAGAAAACCATACAATCTTTTTCACACGCTTTACAAATTTTTTCCTTCAATTAACTACGAATTTAAACGGACATTTTTGTACACCTAGTTAAATAAAATGATTTAAAAGAAGAGAGGGGCGTATGTTCCGTTAGAGGTTATGCAGTTTGCCAAGAACACGCCACGTAGGTGCTTGTACTTCACAAAAGCATTACTCGATAGAGGATTGTGGAATCTCGAGGGAATTGCACTAGCGACTACGTGATTTTTAGCAAACAGGTCGCAGCCTAATGCTCCACATAAACGAAAATTAGGTCAACGTTGATTAGTCGTTTTTTTTTATATCTCTCATCGAAATTTCCACACAAAAACAAAACTTTGTTGCAATTAGAACAACCGTTTAATTCCAAATAAACGTTATCGAGCGGTTTTAATGAAAATTTATTAAAACGCACGCGAGTTATTACAAAGCATGTCGCAATAAAATTAATATAAACTATTATAAATTTTTGCCGAACCAGAGAGAGAGGAGGCGCAATAAAAAAAAATTATAGCCCGTAACTTTTATTATAATTTATTAAAATGTTTCATCGACGCGGATGAAAACTGTACATATTACGAAAAATATATATCAACCAGCCAATCGAAAAAAAAAGTGAAAATAATCTCAACCTGTACGGAAAGGAAGTCTTCGGAGCTAACGGTACAAGAGAGCATAGGTACACCGAAAACGGATTCCGTTAGCCGTCGACCTCATTCCCAAAGACAAGGACAATATCTCGACAAAACAAATTAACCGACAGAAGAGTGAGCGAATAAATTCTATTGCGAAATCGCACCGACATAATCGAGAATGACTGCTTCGAAACCGGCGAAAGTGGATTGTTAAAATGCTGGTTTCGCAGCCGTACGGAAATATCGAACGGATCGAATGAATTCATAACGCGATATTCGTCTTTTCAAATGGAATTCACACGAGTCGATTACATGTGACCTACAGTCGAAACGAAGCCGCATTGTGGAAGATCACGAGCGGCTACATAGCGATGTAATATAGCTCACTCCAATAATTTACCTTCCGCAATGATTACAAGGTCGGTAAATCTCCCGGAAAATAATGGAATTGAAGGAGAGGAAGAAGATAAAACAACTCGATACATTTCAACTACTAGATAATACTGGCGGAAAACCCTTTGACCTTTGAAAAGAGAAACAACCGAACATGTTACACAGGCGAATGCTTGTGCATTATACTTTTCGAGGTCGTTACGTAACGTCGTAACAAATCCGATATAGACGATAAACGGAGTGCGACGGGGACCCCCCTTAAGAGGGAGTCTGACCCCGTTGCATACCGAACCAGCCGGACGAATCTAGGTTATGGATTAGAACCGGCCAATAGAGGTGGAAGCGGATTCGCCTTTTAATCGTGTGCCAGTCTCGTCTGGTACGCGATTTTTTTCCCCCGACTCTCGACCGAGCGCTGGTGCACTTGGACATTCCGCCACGGAGAGAAAGTGAAAGAAATTTCGGCAAAACGGATGTCTTTCGACGCGTTACCTAAGAAGCGGGAAGGGAAAGTGAATGCCGTTTGAAAAATTTCGCACTGGTCGATTGCGATTTTATAGCGCACTTAACTGTAACCGAAACCCGAATCGCGTAGAACTTTTATTACCGGAATTCCCTGCAGAATAAAATTAGATTTTGATTTTAAACTACTCATAAAAAAATACAACAGACAAATGTGAATAGCTTAGCGCTCATTATCCTTTTGTCCTGCTAAATTCGGACGTCACAGGAATTTTCGGTGTCGTTAAACAAACAACCGGGGTTTTTGTTGGGCTGTTTTCGGCCCGATTTTACTTTCGACGAGGAAAAAAGCGTCGCAAATTCGTGTTGACATCCGATTCGCGAGCGAAGGCACAAGGCGTAGGTCATTCGCAGAGCTCCCACAAACAGCTGACTCATTGTATTCGCGGCTTTTGTTGTGACACACATGGAAAGTGTGCGGAAGATTTATTGCGCAAATTCGGATTAGTATACTTTTCGTTACCGAGAGGTTTCAACTTGCTAATTTTTGTGTAGAGGGAAAGTTAAGCTTTAATTAACTGGGCGCTCTTTGTACTTGTTTGTTATCCTTTCCTATTTTATACTGCTTACATTCCTTAGATTGTTCAAATAATAGAAATTTGCTAATTATGTCGCTCTTTTCTAAATATCTTTTATCAATATTATTCCTATTTCTTCGTTTATTGGATTGGATTTGCAGGCAGTATGCTTGTTTTGACAAATTCAGCAAAATTTCTTTTTTCCAATGTTATAAATATTACTGCAATCTTGTTAGATGAATAATTAATAATAGAGAAAGTGGTTTCTGCTCGAATACAACACATGATTTTAGATTGCAAATTATTTAATTTCAATGTATTTACATAATATAGTCGGATAATTCTCGCAGCCATAATGCCAGTGAAAGTTTTTTTTTTCCATAAGTAAAAACTAAATATTTAAAATCAGTATGAAATTAATAAACATTTATTTTAGAGCGAATTTAACGGAGGAGAATTCAATTAGAAAGTGACCATCGAAAAATGCTGGCGTTTGGCAAACGAACTTTGCATTTTACCGTGCACATGCACATACAGTGTCGTAATTGTCGTGTGCAATTAAAATATCTCGACTGCACTCGACTCATTGATATTTAAATCCACGGTTGCGACAAAACATTGTTCTAACGGCGATCAATCGGTTTTGTCTTTTTATCCGCCGGCTGGCACACTTTCTTGGTCTACTTTTCCACGCGCCGGCCACTTATCAAGACAAGGTCCGCTATTAAAACGAAACGTGAAAATATCGTTTATGTGCGTATAACCGTTTTCCTCGCTTATATTGATTTGCATCTATGCACCAATAATTGAGAAACCGAAAGATCCAGAAGAACTACCGTAATTTAAAGAAACGACCGGACGATTATTGGATTTAACTAACCGTCCTCGGAGGCAAGAACGTAATGCAACATTATTAAAACGAGATATCCTCGATCGTTTTTTACCCTATAATGAACCGGTAAAATACATCTAATCTACAGAAACATTAAATCCGTTTAATAAAGCGAACGTTAATGTTTGCATTTCGCTTGTTACATCTCCCATAGAAAAGCTAATTAAAATGGACCCGAGAGCCGAGTTAAAATTGCCTTGCAATATCTGTTTTAATGAATGAACGAAACACCACCGTCGATGCCGATGTTTAATCAAGAATCGAGATGTTGACCCGCTAACCTACTTCGATTTTATTTGTGGTTTATGATTCACGTGAAAAAAAATTGTTTGTGAAACATTGTTGTACTGAAGTAATTGTTTGTTAATAGGAGGCATATGCGCAACAGGTTTTATAATGTCCATGGTTTATTGGATAATGTGAAACAAACGCGTTGACTTGTTTCGATTATATCAAATTATACTCTTTTTGGGTTAATTTTGACAATACAGGTGTATTTTTGGACGTATATTCGATGAAGGCTATCACGAAATTTATTTTACTATTGGCATGTCAAAAAATGTCCTTAAGTAAAATGGATCTCATAAGTAGATACATAATCTACTCTCCTGGGTAGAATATCGTCTCTCCTGGGCACATAAATTACTCCTTTTGAAGATAAATGGCTCGTTTTTCCTTTATTTTTAAGTACAAAAAAGGAAGTGTTAAAAATCGAATAGCCGAATACAAAAGTAAATTGCTAGTTTTAAATCTATTGTTCTATCGATAATTGCGCATTTTCACAGCATACGACAATCGACAATAACAGTTGCGCAATAAGCGTAACACTTTTTCCATTTTCTTGAACCTATAATGTATCTAATAATTTTTAAACTATTGTTTACGTTGATGAATTTAAAAGTTACGAGTAATAAAATGCTCGTCTGTTGCATTTAAATATTAAAATAAAATTTAAGTACTTTATTAAGTAACTTTATACCTAATTAAATGGAACACTTCTCTTATGAAACTAATATGCTAGATTATTTTTAAATATAGTAAGAGTACAACGCCATATTTTAGTTTACACTTCCTGTTTTATGTCTAATTATAATTATCTTCTCGACTAATGATAAAAAATGAAATATAATTTCTACTTTACACTTAACTATTAAATCTGTATATAAGAGATAAAACAAAATTAAAAAATCATAAAATTCATTAATTAACTGATTAAAAATTGTTATACATATTTTTTTAATAAGATCGACCCTGGTTAGCAAAGAATAAACAATAAAAAATATTTAAACATTTCGAGTTACTTACAATAACATTATCATTCGCCATTGACAATGGCAATTAAATGACATAGTAATAATTTAATAAAAAAATAGCCCAAGGTGGGCATGACGTATGACCCACTTAGTTGTACAAAAATTTAGAGTTTCGTGAAACGTTCAAACGAAATAAAGGTGTCTCTACGAATTTCTTAGCTGTCGCAAACTGCGAAATTTTGTGACCCGTTTAACGGAAAAGAATTTCGTAAAAAAATACTAGGTCGTCGTGCTTCGGCGACTATCGGTAGTCGAAAAGATTGTTGGTTTTCTTCGGTGGATTAAATTAGGAGTTACAGACAGCATTTGAATATTAACGATATAATATAAACTTCGATTTACCAGTAAATTTGCAACCGCAGAAATAATAGTAGTTACTAAATGGTTCGTTATCAAACTGACATTGTAATAAAATAAATATAGATATTTAATAAAATACGAGATAATTAAAACCGAACAAAACTACAAATGAACAATTTCGTATTAATTGGGTTGCTTCACGTGTCCTGATAAACGGTATAATGAAAAAAAATGCTACCAGTATTTCGTGTAATATCAAATTTGGAACGAATTAACTAGGTCATAACGTCTAGAGAGGATTCCGATTAAATATGCATGGAAAGTTAGGTCCTAGTTATTACCAAACATGCGGTTTATTAAATATGAATAGAACCCCATTTGAATACATATCCACATACCTATGCGTGCCAAATAAATAAATAATTATCCTCTAAATACTGATATAAAATGAAGCAAAAGCAAAATTGATAAATGTCAAAAGTTAAATATAAATTCATATTACAGATAATTCGGTAATTTATATGTTTTCGTTAATAGGATAACCAAGTATCATATATTGTCATGTAAAATACCTACAAAATTATAATACACTTTTAACTTCTTTAATCTAATCTAACTAAAGTACATTAAAACAAATGTAACAAACGTAACATTGTTACAATTACAGAATTAATTAAAATTGTTGCCATTAACAAACTCTTAACTTCAAACAACAATATGAAACTTCCATCGTATCGAGCTGAATAAACAGAAACTTATCTCCGTCGACGAGAATCTTATTCTTATTTTCATTCATTATTTCTTGTCGAGATACCGAAGGCAGTTAGCAGGAGTATAGTAGTGGGAGGAGGAAGACCTACCGGGTATCCGAGCGACAAGATACCAAGTATCGAAATTACCCAGCCGGTATAATATAACGACAAACGAGGAGGTGTGGTCCGAAACGAATTGGGTTTATTTAAATCGCCGGGCATCGTTCTGACCTTCTTTAACGCGGAAAATCAAAAGCGAACGGCATGTAAGATATGAATAATTTATACGTTATCGAGAATAAACGATTCGTGGACAAATAATGGAACATTTCAATTTTCCACTCAAGCGGAGGGAACACATTTTCTTGGCTTGTATTACAACAACCGCAAAAAATCGAATATTTTTAACCTCTCGATAACGTAAATATTTTCCGATGATAATAAGTCCTGTCTACTTACAATATCGTGTCCCTGGGTGCCGCCTTTGACCACCTCCGGCGCCATGTATTCAATCGTTCCGCAGAAAGAATATGCTCTTTGATCGGCTTCCTCCCTAGGGAGCTCCTTGCTCAGACCAAAATCCGTAAGGACTATGTGACCCGATTCGTCTACCAGGATGTTCTCCAATTTAATATCCCTATAGATGATGCCCAACTGAAATTAAAAGAAAAACTATTTAAGCAATGGAATAAGTGCAAAAATATGCTACTTATTAAATTAAACAATCTTTAATTAACTTTATTATAAAATCTATTTAGAACTCGCTCAGTGAGCTAATAAATATGAATGATATAATTTATTTCTCTCAGCTGTTATCTGTACAATATATGCTGCAAAAAAACTCCAATGTAATCGAGATCTTTTATTATGTTATTACACACCTATTTGAAACAGATGGATTATTAGAATCCGGAACAATAATTAAAAATCCAGTTGCCAATACCAATACCACACGAGATGTAAACAAAGTCCGAGGTCACTATACCTAGTTATTTTTAGATCTGTGGGAGTCTAAATAAAAACTATGTTGTATATGAACTTCCTAAATTAGACAACAAATATTTGATAATTAAATGATGAATGACCAGAAGACAAGTATAGGGTCAATTCTAAATTTACCAACAACTAGTTCCACATAATATGTAGCCTTGAGAAAATGCGGCTATTTTGAAACGAATTAATAAATTAACTGCAATCCTAGGAATCGCCTGCTTTCAATTACGAGTGCTTTCGCTATAAACAAGTAAATAAATACACATTGCACGTGTATTACTAGAAACCACACATGGATATCTTATTACTCTTTCTTAACGTTGAAATTGAATGTTTTTAGTTCAGATACCTAATTGGACAAATTACAGTGATGCTTTTCAATTCAATTTTGACCTAATGAACTGTATTTTTAAACAATTTCCAATCAACTAAAACATGGAGAGTAGAGGAATTTTCAAAGTTCCGTGTCTAAATCACATTTGTCCTTGAATTCGAACGACACACCATGTTGGGGAGCAAGTTAGTGTTAATAAATTTCCTACCCATATAGGGGTTGCGAGCGATAAGGTCAAAGACCCCTACATACACGGTATTTGCATGTTTAGTCAATTAAATATATTCTAAAAGGTTTATGGTTCAAAAGTATTCTCGCTCTCAACCAGCTTTCGGTTGAGTATAAGTGCAATAAAAGCAATAGGACACGTCATGTGTCCAAGCTAGTCGTTTTACGGATAAAAGTGGCTCCTTTTCAGCGTTACGTCAGACGACATCATCAACGTTATAATCGGCTTCTGTCCGTTCCTTTTCCGGATTAAAATCGTCGCCCGACCTTCGCGAAGATTTTCTTTATAACGGCGGATCCTTTTTATTCGAAAGAACAGCAAAGTTAAATCCATTAACGTACCATCAACCGTCAACCGAGTAAACGGGAGGAAGCAACAGAAGATTATTGCAGAAAAAATTACAGTGAAAAATAAAAAAATCCTACTCGGATTACTCGATGGTAGAAACATATTGCTTTCTATGTGGAAAATTGCGACTTATAGTTAGATACTATTCAGTGTAGTCAGAGAAACGTTCTAATTGTGATTAACCCTCAAATAAACTTAATGCATATGCCGAAACCTCTAATCAAAGCACTCGACATGAAAGCACGTTATTGCAACATCCTGTCATTCTCTTAACAAATGGCAGTATTGCAAAAGCCGTTGTTTGCATGAGGGAGTTGCATCAAAAAAATTAATCAACGTTTTTCGCGAACAAACATTAAATATTTCCAGCTCGAAACGACACATTCGAATCAATCCGAACAGTACCTGCACGCATTTAATTAACGAAATAAGCGCCGTTTCGCAATGAACTTGGTCTACAAATATATTTTTCGTTCCTACGCTCTCCGCCAGATCGCTTACATATTTGTAGTAGTCAACTAACTAAAAATCCTTAATTAATTTCGTCCTTGTCACACGCGCATTTAGCACGAGTTAGTACTGAGGCCGCGGCGTCGGCGATAGAGGGCAAGGGCGCGATAGGAAGTCGATATAGCTTGTTCATCCATGGATTTAGATGGCTTAGCAATTTCAAAACATACAAAAAAAATCTCTATTTAATCTCCATATTTTATAAATTAGTTAAATTAGTTACTCTCTATATTTTAATGTATTACTAAGTGTAGATTAAAAATTTATTTGATATGTGTTTTTTAATTTTCGCCCAGCAATTCGTTGCGTTGCCTACGTGCATGAATAAATTGTCCGATTAGCGTTTTACAATCTCCATTGATCATTTGAATAATAATTGCACCTATAAACCTACCTTTATACCTAAACCGGAAGTTGTACGGTGTGTGTGTAACTTTGCAATGTATTCTACAAAAAAGCTGAATGAAATTCTTTCAAAGGTCAATTATTCTCATGCTGAAACGCCCGCGGTAAAGTAACCAAAATTTTGACGAAAGTAGGTCGTAATTTTAAATAAGTAAATGTTATTAGATAACCCTAATGATTTATTGGATTGCCAAAAATTAGTATAAACTCGAGGTTATATAAGCAAACTCGGATAATTATGAACTTGTTTAATAGCAATCAGAAGAATAACGTTTGGTCTTGGCAGTTTCTATAAGCACTAAACTCCTACGTTTGGAGCAATTTTGTTCTTCTCAATTTACAATTTACATGCAAAATCAATTTATGGCCGCATTTAGTGCATTTAAAGCAGTAATATTTTATTTGTTCAGTGCTTAGTAATTTTACTGCATTTTTCGCTAAACTCGGTTTACGATTACGACTTATCATTTTCCCATATTAAATGACATTCTTCGGTAATAAAATATATTAACTTCCTTATTAATTTCGTTATCAAGATTCCTACTATACGAAATATTTTTTTAAAATTTTCAAAATTAATCAACAATGGACCTTTTTTTTTCGATCATTTTCATTATATCACAACGAGTTTATCTTGTGTATAGAAATAAATAAAATATAAATGCAATTTACACAGGCATCGGTTTGGCGATAGACCTTGATGTTTTATCATCGCCACACACTCTACTAAGCCATAAAACGAGTTAATGTCGAGTGGTGTTATTAAATAAATCCATAAAACGTAAAGTATTGTGGAGAAAACGACAACCAGTTGTACGGTAATCACATTTATTCCGCTCGAGGCAAATATTGTTAAGGGATCATCATATTAACCCGGATTTGAAATAAAATTTAAGCGCCTGAATTTTATTTAGGTAACCAAAAACTTTAAAATAAGTAAACCACGAGGTATAAATTTGTGGGATAAAATCAACCATCTGCCTTTGGGTTATACTCGGGGTGTTGGGACATGTAGAACACCCAAGTGAGACGGCTCGCTTAGGAGCTGAATAAAAAACCTGATGCCATGGCGTATTTTTTTTTTCGAAGAAACACCTGGTCAATACGTCGGGCGCCCAAGTCGGTAAGACACAATAGAAATCCCACAAACAATGACCTTTTCGGGTGCAGAAGAAGCAACCGTTGCCAATGGCATTTCCGCGGATAAATTTCGCATTTATTTTTAGTCAACTTACATTAACGTTCTTCTATGATTCCAATAAATCATTTAACAAATTTATTCGAAGTGCTCAGTGCATACCAAACAAGACTATAAACTTGATATCGATATGTAATCGTAGAAAACCATATTTCATAGCTGTAATTTAGACATTGAGCGATTACTTCTATTCGCATATTTAATGAAATCCATATCGGTATTTAATGCGAAAATGACCAATTATTCGCATGGGTTTTCATTGGTGGATGATTGAAAATTTAATTACTCCGAACAGTGCGATAAATTCAATGTTTAAGTGGAAAAGTGCAAGGTCGACCGCGTATTTTACTCGTATACCTTATGAATGAAGTTAAATTTGAGAGCTCACTATTTTTACTAGGTTCTTGAAAAATAAAACACTCATTTTTATAACGCGTAAATTGGAATTTAGGTACTCACAAGTTTCGCTTCCTCTTTTCAGAAATAAATGTCGGTCTCAAGGTTGGCAAATATTATGATACAATAGATTGTTGAACAAATTTTTATCAATAGAAAACACATGTCTAAATTACATAATATAATAATCATTTTATCGTTTATCTACCAGAAACAATGAAATATTGTATAAGCAAAAATTTTGATAATCCAATTAATATTCTTCGTGAATTTGTAAGAAGATAAATTAATGTTAAAAAAAAAACTTTGTCTTTATCAACATTATGTTTTCGTGTACTTATCGCCATGAAGTTTTTACACTTAATCGTGCCAATATTTCAAGCTTTTATCGCCCATATTATGACAAGTTTCTCGCGTTATTGAATGTAAAATCCATAAGAGCACATGCTCTTATCTGAAAAACCGTTATTATGTTAATAATCACAAAAAAATGGTCAGTGAACTTGGTTAATAGGGAGGTGTCGCACACACAGATAAACTCACTTGGATATGTAAAAATATAATGTTAATTTTTATCAACATAAATAAAAATGATAAAGTGAAGATTCGCAAATCATGTTAACAGTCACTTTATGAAGAACAGTGAAATTTATAGTCGATGGTCAAGGCGACAGAAAAAAAAAACTCGACCTACTATTGCAGAGGCCGTTTTATGGAATTGATTTATTAGTTTGCTATTTGAAACAAATTGCTATTATTCAATTATTTGCGGATAAGAAAATCACGTAATCAATGTTTGTGAAAGTGTAGGGATAATGTATATCGTTGTTTGCGCTAATTAACGAATTGATAACAAATTAACTTCAATAAACATCTGTAAAAATAAATTAACAATTTCATTGCCTGCTTGTTTATTCATAAAAAAATACAATTTACCTATAATCATCATCCAGATGATTTTACGTTATTCTAAGCAGGATATGCCCCCTGAATAGTCAGATTATGGCTAGCAGCGAAAAGTTCTCATCTTTCACTTTAATATGTAACCATATGTGTGTGTGTGTGTGTATGTTGTCAACAGGCGCATCGCATTCATACGTCCGTAACAGTTACTGCAGAATACAAAATTGACAACGCACACACGACCAAAAGAATTCGGAATTTAGGTCACAATATATAATCACCAGACAACTATCCAACAGTCGCAAGTTCTCTTCATTGGCGTATCAATATTACATACACCAAAAAAGAATTTGCACTGATTTAGTATGCTTACCTATTGTAAGCAATTACATTTATTAATTAGCATCTACGCCTACAATTTAAAATTGTAACTTTAACTTCTCCTGCTTCATCTCTAAATAGAGTTTATATTAATCATCTGGTAAATATATCGACCGATAATAATATTAATAACAATTCCGATTTTATAGTCATATACATACATACATAAGTAATCGATTGGTGCCTTATGGATGGCTCAACAAACAATTTTTAACACGCCGAAGTTATCAAAGAGACAATAAAGAAACGTCCTATGAATCAACTCGATTGTAAGTTTATTAATGCTTTTAAAATAATTCCAAGGTTAACAAAATTTTTTTGGAGTTATAAATCATACATCATCCTTTTTATGCAGAGATATAAACAACTTAGTTAATGTCTGGTGAATTAAGAGGCCAAAGAACTCGAGTTAACTTTATGTTGTTTGATAATTTTTAATTTACATTTTAAAAAAATTGCTTAAATCTGTATGTCCAATTAGTTAAGTAGGTATCAGTATGTTGTTCAGAAACCAGAGCATTCAAATAAACATAAATATTTGTCTAGTTTGTGAAATGAAACACAAACCTGTTTAAGTTCGCTCAACAACAATGACTCTTATTTGTCTGAACCTGTTTGCATTTCACTCGATGAGAGTCTAAACAGTGAAGACAAACGATAAGAGCGAAGTATGTACTAGAAGTTAATATTAAAAATGTATAGGAATAAAATCGCCAAATAACTCCTACGCCACTGGCGCGTGTAATCGTTAATTAGATGGAAATGCCAGACAAAACTAGGATAGCTCTGGGGCATACACTTGACTGGTGAATCGACGAAAGTAAAACGCCAAATTGTCCAGATATTAACGCACTAGGTTACCACGATTGGTTATGCTGTTAAATCGTTTAAATATTCGTCGACTTTCACCGGTTGTTGTTACCGATTCGTCCAAGTTAATATATTTTCACGCGATACTGTGCAAATTAATTTAAAATAATCGCAAATGTGCATTCGTAAAATGGCGAGTTTAAAATACAACGAAACAAGAACAAAATGGAAGTTCAATGTATTTCGACTGGTCTCGGGCGCTATCATCGCATGATCCGGATATTTCGAGCAAGCTGAGCAATTTCCGGTGCAAAGCCGCACCGTAAGATTTTTATGCCACTCCGATGTGTTTCTGGTGCATTTTTTTACCTGCTGCATTTTTCGACGAAATGCCTATTCGCTAAATTGTATACAGGAAACAGTGTCGGGACACGTTATCACGTCGATTATAATCTAACGAGTTCATTTACACTTAAGAGTTAATGCACTATTGCTTTATTTTCAATATTGATGAAATAGATATTATAAAATATAGTAGATAAATATATCTACACAATATAATAAACGTTTATTAAAAATTAAAAGAAAATCGATATTTAACTATCGATTCTAGACAAACTATTCTCTCTATATGTAGTAGACATGTAAATTAAATTTTTAAAGGTGCCCTATTACGTAAGAATGTATTATGTATGTAAATGCTGGCGAGTAGACATGGATTATAACGGTCCTTAAACTGATTATCATCGAAATAATAGATTCATATATAATCGAGTAGACGAAGGGTAATAGTTAATAGAGTATACGAGTATGTACCGTTAAAAATTGCTATCTTAGTAATAGGGTGGGCTGTTTATTGCCGAGGAATTGCACTTTTTACAAGTATCTAGTAAAACAATGCGATAATTTTACTATGCATAGTGTACACATACCGATGTTAAACCAACTAATTGTTAAAAGAAAATGTCTATTTGCATTATAGTAATAAAATAATACTGTATAATAATAATTATAAAAAAATTACACCGGTTTCGTACATCCAATTCACTACTAAATTTTATTACGGTAAATGAAAAATCAGTAAAAGTTGTTCAAGAATTCGCAATGAATTCTAAACTAAACAACCAAGTACTTTCACAGGACATAACTACATTACAAAAGATCTTCTGCATGTGGGTAATAAAAAAGTTTTATTAATACTAAACATTTTATTTCAAATTAACTGTTGTGTAAAACAAGAATGAAAATTTGCCGGACGATTTTAAAAGCAAAAAAGTTAAAATAATTATAGACTCTGACCTATAGCAAGACATAGAGAGGTGTTTAGGTACTTGAAAAATGGAATGATGCAAATTATTTTAAGTTATTAAAATAGTTTGTAAAAAAACTTGTTTTTGAAATCCTATTTATTTTGGCAAAAAAATTTGGAAAAAACAAAAATATTCCAACGAATGCATTGGCAGTATGCAAGTGTGGGATTAAAAAAATTGCGAACCTGACCTTCCACAACTTATAGCGATAGACGAAACGAATACAAAACCCAAAAATAGGAATGATATGATAATAATTAGTAGTATAATAATAGTGGAATAATAAAAAACATTCCCATTAAGTTAGATGTCTAGAGATACTAATTTATTGAAAAAAATATATATTAGCCTTTGTTTAATTTTCTTTGTGAAATACTTGGCTGTCTACCCAAAGGCATTGGCAATTAGTCATGAAAAACGTTTTTTGAATTATTTTTCCACGTATAAATTGTCCTCAATGTTTTAAAATAAGTTATTTTGCCCCATTCTCAATCCGCAAAAAATGTAAAATCCTTTTCATTTTATAACCAACAGATCAGTCCAAATTGGATCTCAACAAACAACTAATTTCAAGGAATAAATGATAAAGAACGTAATGTTCGAATAATTTGAATAATATAGACATAACAAACAGGCTGTTCATATAGGAACTTGAATATTGAAAGATTATTTACTTACAATACCTGCATTCAAGGACGATATAAAGGTATTAGGTACAACAATTTTTTCGACGTCTAGATGTCTCTAGACAATTAGTTAACGTCGCAAACGATAACCGGCTCTACGATTTTAATTATTTAAATAATTTAAAATAAAATGTTTACGTTTCCAATGCAGACGATTGATACCACAACGATTACCTACAATAATATATGTTTCTGCAAAAAAAACAAGTTGTAACTTATTTCAATTATTATTACTATTAATTAGTCTACTTACAAGTAATGTATACATACTACGAATACTGACTCCGCTATGTGTATTTAGTTAAAATGATTATATTTGCTTTGTAATTTTAATATTAAAAAGATAAATACGGATTTATGTGCACACGGATGGTTACATTATAAAACACTTGTGAAGTTCATTAAAAGTTACAATAGGTTTTTAATAGAAATACTTGCGTACTTACCGCATGTAAATGTTCTAAAGCCAAAATTATTTCTCCTATGTAAATGCGAACTTCATCTTCAGTGAAGTGTTCTCTTTGGTATAGGTGGGTAAAAAGTTCGCCACCGGCTACGTAATCTGAAAAAGACCGAAAGAAATGCGATTAAAAAAATGATGAATTAAACTGAATGTTTTATCAAAAGCGGCTTTTAGAAACTCGAATTTATCCACTGGATAATATACAAGTTTACAAACGTTTTGGTAACTTTATCGTTCATTATCAACGGAATTCAGAGATATCTGGGACTGACGCCGCATAATTAATTAATCAAACATTTAAGGGAATCTAAATCTAACGAAAAGCACCAGATAATTCGGCAAAATTTATTTTTAGCCTATTTACCACAAGGCCAACGTATTTAAATGGACGAATTATCGCGTGAAATGTAAACTTCATACTTTTTTCAATTATCTTCGAATTACAAAATAATAACCAAAATGCCCGTTCTACAATCTCCGAGTATCTTTTAGTTAGCGAGTACTTATCAAAACGACGTCTTCCGCAAACAATAAAATCTAATCAGCGCAGGAAACGGCTATAATAACTGTCTAATCAATCCTTCCGAAACAAATCGACATCATCTTCAACGCCATATCGAGCCCCGCCATCGAGGAAACGTTTTCACCTTCGGTACAAAAAATACAGCATTTTTTCTCTTTCCTACGTCAAATAGAACCTTTCCTACTTCGCGGATACGATAAGTCGATACGACTGGTGTATTTCGCGTCGAAAGGAAAGATCGATAAGTCGGTAAAGTAACGGGAATTATATGCATTTTATCGATACGAAATCGCCTTTAATTGCACAACAATGCGGGGAGTTGGAGAAGAATCTTAAAAGCGATACAATTCCATAATTTAAAAAAATATTCAAATTATTGCTTATGCTGCAGAAGGCTTTGATATAATACATATGTTTAAAAGACCAATACACTGTTTCTACACGTACATATTTTGAATAATATAATTAATAATCAACTTTTACTATCTAGAAATTTCTCGGCCTTAATAAGGTCATATGTTAAATGTCCAAAGGTTAGCGTATATTCAGGAATACGTCAAGTCGTTTCGAGCTTTAACGTTTTGTGCATTCTAAGTATAAATAGCAAGTTACACAAAGTTATTTGTAAAGAGAATTTAGTTGTTTTATCGTCTTGTGAACGTTCGAAACTCTGTGAAAAAAAAAACGCAGGTAATTAATGCAGTCCACTTTTTAACCTTGATTCATTGATATTGCTGTGGATGGCCTTCCTTCGGAGACTTGTCTAATTCTAATTTTATGTATTATTCTTAGTATCCGCAATTTCGTTCGATGGTTTTTATTACTCTCACGTGACAGCAAATATTATAATATTTATTAATATATTTTTTTAATTCTATCTGAATTTTTTATTACAACTCCAATATAATTACACAAAGTAAATGAATCGCTAAAGTATTAAGTAGCTTATAAATTAAAACCTTAAGTTTATTTATTGATTTGTTGTATATGTACATATTATAATAATGATGAACGCAAATTGAAGTAATAAATATTATATTACAAGTGATAAGATGTAAAAAAACATTTTTTTATATAGGTACACAAATATTTTTAAATCAAATGATCTACACCTTGCGAGAAAAAATATCCATATTAGCAGACGAAATTCTTATCAGTATTTTAAGTTTACTTATCTATAAATAAAATCAGTAAAAATAACTATTTACTATTCCAACAATAATGTTTATATTAGTGGTATCATTTTGTTAACAAACTGCTACACATAAAAAATATTTAAAGTTGATCAAACCTATTTCAATCTGCCGGTTTTCATCATTGAAATCATACAAAAAATATAATGTGAAGATGGGGCAAAAGTAAGTACTTAAAAAAACAAATCGAATTTCGTCAGCCTTGCTTGCTAATAACTCTCAATACGGGTATTTCGAGTTCAATGAGATCACAAGGATGCATCAATTGATCAATTAACTCTATTAGAAAATGATTATACGGCAACAGAAAATTTAAATAACGACACTTAGCGTGTCGTTATAATTCGCATCTTATACGACTAAAACCTTTTTCACGACGCAAAACGCATTAGAAAATAACCAACCAACGAACAAACCACGTTCGATTGATTATAATTAATATTGTTAACGCATGTGGTAAATACTTCCTCGTTAGACAATTGACGAGGAATAAGCCTACATGAAAACGACGGTAATTAAAATTTAAGAAACAAACGAAAGTCGACGTGTGTACGTGTGTATCTTAATTAACGTGAAGTGGTTAATTTATTTTTAGCTTTTAATTAATTAAATTGTCGAGAGAGGCACGTATGAGAGAATATATGAATAATATTCCCGCGAACGCTGCCCGTTCCGATTATAGTTGTAGGTGGAGGTCTTCCTTTCGAATTGCCAAACAGCTGACAGCCGGCATTTAAGCCTTTCATTACTCATTAATGCGAACACTATTATGAGCTCAACAAATTTTTCTACATTATACATAAATTATAGTACGAATGGGACGAATATTTATGTGTACACACACCCGAAGTATTATCACTCACTCCATTATTAACCAGTTCTGATAAAATAGGTAATAAGAGAGAGTTTATTCAGACCAGCGAGTCAAAGTTTAATCATTAGATTAAGTTTAGAAATAATGTTGTAAACTTTAATTATGGGTATGGGTAAAATGATATACCACGCGTGCACTATACATGGTATAGTTAAGCAGACCTGCTAAATATTCAAGGATCGTATAAGCTGCGAATATAAAATTCACGATAAATGTGTGCAATAAACTTTATTAAAAGGGATTTTCCTTTTTGGGCATATCTTTTTGCGCTTATCGACTTGCAGAACAGTCATCATTAGCAAATAAACGTATCCTGTTTGGTTGATAACCACTTCATTAGAAAAATATTTGTGTAAACAGCCAGACGGGCCTACCGATTGTTGGAAATGTATAGAAATCGACTTTTAACTGCTTCTACATCAGAGTACAATTAATACGATTCCAATCTGACTGAAAATAATTTGCTGGGAACTCGCCTACATTCCGAGTCGTCCAAATATCACATTGACTTAATATTATTTATTTATGCTTCTCGTAAACACATAAACTGTTTGAAGGTTGTAAATTAATTTGTAATCTTTCCTGGTAATAATTCGAATTTCGGAACTCCACACAACACCCACGAGTTAGTGTATATTACAGTTGAAACTATATGAGAATGAATAGGAATCGTCTGTGGGAAATACTTTCGACTTTGTTGCTTCAGTTATTTAATTAACGTAAGGATGAAAGCCAAACAAGGACAATGGAAGTTGACACGAAGGTCGGTTAAGAATCCCATATATGAAAAGGAGAAATCAACTAAACATCATTCCTTAAAAGTACGATTAATTTTATCTACCTGGTATACAAATATTACAAATACGTATTAATTCCAAATGTAGAGATTCATAAAATAACATTAGGACTTCATTGTGCACCAACATTGACAAGACATTGAAGTGATGCTAATGAAGCAAAAATAAAGCGATAGAAGATGTTTGCGTATTTAGCAGTTAAGTAACGAGTTGATTTTTGAATCTAAGCTAAAGGAAAAACCCGATTCTCAAACAAACTTGCAAAGTCCATTTTGCGATTAATTCGCTTTCACCGGCTTCTGTAAATATACGATAGCCAGAAAACAGGGTCAAGTTTATATTATAAAACATATTTAGTTCGACTTGACCGTTCGAAAATCGGCACACATGCACATACAAGCTAACAAAATGGCAAGCCTATTTGATAAAATATTTAAACACTGTTTTATAATGTATAAAGGACTGTTTCATGTCGAATTCGAAATGAAAACTAAAATATCCTGTATTATCTAAAAATAAGTCGTGTGCAAGCCAGAAAGAACTACAAACGTTTAAATTTAAACCAGATACTGCGGATTGACTAATACAATTACTATTTTAAATTTATCAGTTAACCAATTTTCATCCGCTTGTGGAGCAATAATAATAAAATAATATACAAGTTTGTTATAAAAAAGTTACAACACAAATTGGTACAAATATAAAAATTCCTCCTTTTCTAGGTTAGCGATAATACTATCTGAAGTTTATGTATTTAGTCATGTTTTGTATACATATTTATATTATTGTGCAACTGTTAGTGCTGTCGCGTTGAAATATGTAGAGGTACTTTCTACTGTTTTAATTAAATCAATGTACTTACCTTAAATTAACAAGAAAACCAAACATAAGCGTACGTGAAAAAAATTTTGAATTATGAAGGACGTTTTTTTCTAACAAATTAGTTGGAACTTTTATTTCGTATTACCGTACCAACTTGTCGATAACAAACAGCAACTAAACTACAACGAAATTAGTAGACAATTTAGTTAAACATAATTTTTTATGTCCTAAATTTGTTTGATAGATACATCTAATGCTTTATTAAATTGTTAAGAAATACACAATTTCAAATTCTGGTTAGGAAAGAGAAAGCGATTTTATATGAAAGTACTCTTTTATCGTTCACTTTCACTCAAAAAACCGCGACATCGACATTTTAGATGATGCCAATTACAATTCGTGAATTTTTTCACAACCTTGCTGTAATTTTTGTAATTGATATGATGTAATTTCGCGGAAATAATGCGCTTTTTTCTGGTGGTGTCAACTTTCTCGATCTAATATTTTCAATCGATATTTGTTTTAACTATCCGATTGATTAGATAACGAATTTCAATAAATAATTAAATGCCACTAAAATGTAAAACACAAACGCAATTATTTAAATGAGTAAAACTATTTGTGTGTATTTGAGTGGATTCGATTGATTGGAGTATTATTAAGATGGTTGTTTCGAAATATTTCCTTAGCCTTTCTAATTATTTTACAATAATAAAAGCATTGGATGGTTTCTAAAAAAACGGAGAATTCTGATAGTGGAAAGGAAAAATACTAGATAGCTTTTTATATACGTACCTATTAAATATAGATTACAAAAAAATGTGTTATCAACAAATTTTTCCTAAATATTTTTTTCCAGTAGGTAGAAATACGCTTGGGATTTTGCATATCGTTTATGCATTTCCATGTACTATGTACCTGGATCTGTTTATACTGAATAATAATATCTCCAGTGTCAATATGCCTTGTAAGCAAACATGCATATTACCAATTTTTTATTAAGTATTATTGATGCACCATTCCTTGAAATTGATAACGAACACACATGCAGATACCGTATTTAATAACAACCATTATTTCTTTGTTTACCGCTCAAATCAAAACAAACAAAAAATGATAAAAATTCGTAGTCGGAGATTCGGATATCTATTATCACGATAAGCGAATTATACGAAATGGATTTTGCACTCCTCTTTAACTGAAATGCAGCTATTGATAAAGGTAAATGATGTAAACGGAAATAAACACGAGCCGGTCCTGGCATCAAATAAAACGGATAAAGATGTATGCAAGTATATGATGGTAGTTTTTGTAGTAATTTAATATTTGCCAATAAAATAACGAATGCTAATGAGAACGTAACCGAGACTTGTCAAGTTTTATGAACAATTATTATAGACACCAGTGAAAGCTATAATTTATACATAAATCTTGGAATTTCGCAAAAAACAAAGGTTAATTGAAAAAAAAATAGATTAGAAAAGACAGATTCGTTTTACATGTCATTGACTGCCGTTCATAAATTATTTGTCAAATTCCAATAAGAAAAACATGTTTAAATTCCGCTGAAGCATTGCACTTTGAGTTGTTTATTTATTTGTAAGGACTTTTTATATGAAAATCGACACGAAACAATAATAAAAGCGTTAAGTAATTGTACTTATTTTCGTTTTCAACACGTGTTAGCTTCGCAAAAATGCGATTATTTATAGTTTAGGCACTTGTAGAAATTCTTACGTCTAACTAAACGCTATGGTTATCATACGGAGACCGACAAGGTTATTTCGATTAGCAAATTTTAAATTAATGACATTTTAATAAGATTTATTTTGACTAAGGACAATTTTATAAAAATCTCCCAACACGCATTTTCTAATTATTTAAACATCTTTCATAGTAATTAAATAAAAACAAAAATATTTATTAGGTATAACAACAATTTGTACCATTTCTCATATCAATATTTTATTCGGTTAAAAAAACACCTATTTGAAAAATTATACCGGGAAAATACTTGACGTTTATTTACTCAGTTTTCCCAACTTACGAATTACTAATCGCCTCACGAGAAAAACATTCTGATCAGAGTGTTTGTGCTCATCAAGTTATGGCGAATATTAATAATAAAAATGGCCGCACGTTATAGACTCGCTTACTTGGAATTGTTTTGGATTTTTGTTACAGAGAAATGGATGAATTTTATTACAGAGGCAAAATTCATATCATCGGAATGAGTATCGGGAAAAGCTGGAAAAGAAGTGGGAGGCAATAGTTATTTTTACATTGTATGTAAATTTAAAATTTTCGGAATGATGAATTTTTAGCGTGAGAAATTTACAGAAAAAAATCAATACTCCTTCAAATTAGACGCACTTTAAATAAATTTGCTAATATTCGAATTAACGCTTTTTTAATCCCAAAAAAATAATTTGCAATTCATATACATTGATTATTATTCAAGTACTAATAAAAACGTAAAATATCTCCAAAAAATACTTTTGTAGTAATGGACTTTTTATGAGCTGATATTCAAATTTAAATATTTCAACTATGTTAATAGTTAATTTCGGGTACAAAATTAAGGCTAAATTTTCCCGCAAATGGAATTACCAAAGTTCTTCAATATCGCATATGCATTTGTACAACAAGAATAATTAAATCACTAGTTACATATAACCGACTTAAATACCTACATGGCCGTAATTTTTACTAAAACCGTGTTAACGAGCTCAAAAAGTATCTGACCCCGTTATTTGACACCAACAGTTCTCATCGCTTTAACGTTTACAGGGCGTTCGAAAGATAACTATCACCCTGAATTTACTATACAAATTCAAACAATAAATCGATTAGTTTCTAATTATAAATAAGGAATTACTATTACTACACTGTGCTAATTTGTTTTTTAATTGAAAATTGTTACCAACTAGGTAATTATTAATTAAGCGAACTGGTAAATAACCAATTTGTTCCAATTGACAATAATACAATAAAATTGTTGCAATTTAAATGAATTTCTTCCATAATTTTACCATTCACTGCGGGTATAATTGGACGTTGTAAATATTTTTATAGCACAAGCCGGTACACTTTGGGAGGAAAGTGTAAAGAATTCATTACCATTAACTAACCCAGAATGGTTGCGTAATTAAGCGAGTAGGAAGTATATATCACGTTGAAGATTGCTCAAAAAAGAACATGGCCGTCAAGATTCAATGCAATCAATTCGCTAATTGGCTGGAATTGCCGCTGAGAAAACGGCGTTACAGTGCCTTAATGATTCATATTTCTGACCCGTGAGACGAACAGTGTTTTATCGTAATTTTACATTATCGAGGTTGGGCTCAAAACTACTGTGAAAGCACGCTTAATAGATGGGGATAAATAACGATAATTACACCTCTTTCGTACATCAATATTTGTGGAGAAGAGAAAATAGAGGTATAAAAAAACAAGTCGAAAATATCTTAGTAGAGAACCGAACTGAGTTCATTAAAGTCGTTTTGAAAATTAGATGGCCGAGTAAAGTGGTCAGTAGAGCATTGTAAATTTTCAAATGAGCAAATATGCTAATTAAAATGACGAGAAATTCCATATTTTCTTACCACGCAAAAACTTTTACAATACCTTTTTCCGATAATTATTAATTAGTTAAATGTAATAAATGTTATATTATTAAAGTTAATTTTTATTGCTCTATAATCAGTCTTTGATCTTTATTATAAGAGAAGTCGGAAATGCCTCGGAATAATTTGGGTTTGAAAATAGTTTAACTTACTAAAAAGGTTTCGGTTCGTAAGTAAATTATGCAGCGAATTCGAAAAATCTCGTAGAGCATTTTACTACCTGTGGTTCGGACTTTACTCGGCCGCCTCTTAAGAGGATTACCTCGGAAACTTATCCCAAAAGAACTCACCTAATATGAGGTGCAATTTGGCATCCGTCTGGAAGGCATAATGTAAGGTAACTAGGAAGGGATTGTCTCGGACGGCCTCTAAGACTTGTCTTTCGGTTTTCGTGTGCTCAGTCGTTTTTTTCTTTTGAACTATCGTTGCCTTTTTCAGTACTTTCATGGCGTACAGTCGACCGTCGTCAGAACCGCCACGTTTTCTTACTAGGAACACTTTACCATACGCTGAAAATAACAAAAAATAAATTAAAACTTACAATTAAAAGTTACAAATACACTCGAAATTTCTATAGCTATTGTACAAAGTTCGTGAAAGCGTACGTAACTCCATCATAATTATATAGATAAGGGTCGGAAGCGAGGGAGTTGTTGGGAAACATCATTCCACTCGATATAGGTAGACGAATGGAAGTTTTCGTAATTTGTAAACTTTCCAGATATGTAGATTTTATTAAGTATCTACTGACCGGTTATGTACCTCGCAAATATTGTGTGATCAATATTGGTTGTTTTAATAAGCACATCAATAATTTATTTTGAATAAAAGCTAATCAATTCCAGTCAATCAATCAATTAACGGAGCTGACCGAAAGGATTCTTTTTTGTCGCCAAGTCGGACGGGCGCAAAGTCGCGTGTCTCGCGTCTGGCACTCTCCGCACTTCCTCATCGTTTCTAATGCGTATTATCGTCATTTTCTTGCGGCCATATCTTTAACTCTTCGAGTCTGGACCGGAGCGAAACTCGATATAATGTAAGATTGTACTTAGAGGAGAGGATGGAAAAACATTCTCCGAGTGCCGAGGCGCAGACTGTTTATGTGTCTCTTTCCTGTTGATTAACGGGCCCAGTCTGCGTTGCTCACAGTCGGTTATCCTACGAAATATGTTAATTCCTTTAAGTGTTTTTTGAACTCGACTATTTGTTTCTGGTTAACGAAAAACGTTTGGGATTGTCGCTCTTCCGCGAAACGGACGTTCGGCTAATGTTCTTTTTTTGTTTTCTTCCATTCGTTGGGCAGTCATCGCGAATTTTAAAGAATAGTCCATTAATTTTAATTTATTACACCCAAAATTAGCGCCGAGTTCGTTCGGAAATAATTTAATACGTTCTGTAAAATTGATAATGCATTCAAATTATTCCACATTAAGAAGATACATTGCACAAACACATCATTATAAGAAAATATTTTACGAATACATCTACATACAAACATAACTAAAATCATGTCGTCTCTAATTAACAATTTGGTAGAATATAAGCTATTTAACTCGATTAATTCGCATTTGTTATCATTATTTGCAGATTGCAATGCATCTCTTATCAGTCAATGATTAATAGTAGATAGTGATATTGCAATGGAAATATTTATTGATGCATTTTCCACAAAATTCTGCGTCGTTCGTTGTTGTAGAGTAAAGTTGTAGTCGATAAATATAAGGAAATCATACTGACGATAATAAAAACGAAATATTTTTCCCGTGTCGAATCGTTTACTGAATCTAACTTAACATTAAAATGACTCCTAACATATACGAGGCACAAGGCCCCTCATGAAAAATTCAATACCCATACATTATACTTTAATTATGTATATTGTTCTTTTAAATCTAACAATAAAAGTCCCTTTTCATCTTTATTCTGATAGTTTATTGATCCTGTCTCGAATTCGGTTTTGTTTTAAATTATACCAACAATCAATGAATATTAAAAAAGAAGTTATTGATTTACCTAAAGTGATTGAGTAACCTAAATAAAGTGATGGTTCAATAGAGTAAGATTTTTGTTACATCAGTAAAAAAATTGGCAAATTAGTCAGAAACGTGATCAGTTCTAAAAATAGTCAAGTTTAGTGAATTCAAGCCATCATCGTATGATAAATAATTACATAAATAAAGTTGAGGTATGCAATTTACAATTTTCAACACACTCGTGCATCTATCTAGTTTGCAATAATTCTGGTCAAGGTCTTTATGAAAAATTATATCTTCCAAGGCTCTCTAATGTACAACTCACAATGAAATCGTTACTTTTTAAAGCCAACCCGTCAACCTGACTTTCATCTCGTATATCAAATAAATTTGAACTTATTTTTACGTTCCCGGCGCTGTGGTTCAACGGTAAAAAAGTAACCAAGGCACTTTCTGCGGGTCTGTAAATGGACATTACATGCAAAGTTCGTACGTGTAGGCAAATATTCAGGTTTCTTCGCATTACAAATGACCACGGATTGTAAGTACACATACGAGATTTTCAGCTCCTTGTTTTTGTTATTAAAATGTCAACGAACTCGGATGAGCTGACTCAAATAATTCAAATCGGCTTCGAGATTCCGTATCGGAGATGCTATTAAGTTTATTAAAGTAAATTCATCGAGCTAATTGAAGGATTTTGATTTGTGGAAAACGGTTCGGATTAATGTAATGCTTGTTCCAAGGAATCAAATTAATTCTCTCATTGTTTACGATGTATTTTATTTTCGTTTTGACGGTTGTAAAAGCTGCGAGTGCAATCTTTCCGGTTGCAATTATAAGCTCTTGTATATCTAAATATCACTTTTACTCAGGTATAGAGAGACTTATACAATTAAAATAATTGCACAAGTGCAATTAACGTTATCAAAAAAACCTTTGGAACGTGGAATTACCAATAAATTCCGAATGCAAGCGAAACGTTTTACGAATGTTCGGGGAAATACTCACTTGAATATTCAAAAAGAGCACCATCAATAAAGATAAAGAGTTATCAGTAGTTGCGGTGATAACAATATTTTATTGACCTATTTGAAACAGTTATCGAGGAAATTTACAACACTAAGAAACTTTATAACTTCACAAATATTGATCATTGAAAAATCGTTAAAAAAACACATTTTGTTGGTTTTCAGTGAACAGATATTTTACCGAAAAGTATTGTAAGGACAAAAGGTAATCAAAATAAAGATATACCCAGTCGTGTTGTTTTATTAAAATAGTTCCTTCTTTTGGACAGATTCCAGGAAAATTTCAGGTTTATTATCCATCCCTCTTATATACCTTTTCGAGGATATCTAGACTGCAATGCGCAAATAAAAGTCGAACCTCAAAGTAGAGTATAATACACACTCGAATACGAAGAAATCGAAAATCTCCATAATAATGCAATTACCGGTGTAATTAAATTAAAAAAATGTCTTCTGTTTAAATTATGAATAAAACATACAAAATCATGTATTCCCTGATCTAAACCGATAAAATTTGCATAAGTTTTATAAATTTTCTAGGCCCTTAAATATGCCATAAATTAAATATAGCCAAATCAAATTAAACAATCTACATTTTTTTTTTTTTGAAATTCGGATATGCTTCCAAATGAACCTTTGCGCTTATCAATCAATTAGGTGCGTGAAACGTAGGTACAGTAAAAAGTGAGTGTTTAACAGCGCAACGACAACAAATCATCGAAACGATCAATCAATTTTCGATTCGAAGACGGGCCCCCGCGACCTTGGGGGGCACACACACATACACGCACATCGCCGTCTAGCGAGCCTCTCCGAGTCGTGCAAAACACGAAAAAAAAAACGCAAACGAAAAAGGAAAAGTCGGCGAACCGCGTGTACCGTTGTGCGGACGTGGACGTCCATCGGGCCCCACCGAAAACAACGACCCCGAAAATCGACGGAACGCCGCCGCGCCGATGCTGGGGAGCAAGAGGCCCGCACGGCGCTCGTCCAAGTGTAACGCCCCCGAGCACCGGCAGCACCGGTCCGAACGGCGAACCCGACGTTTTATCAGTCGATGGCGATTGCGTTTCTGTAAAGGGACCTTGCATATCGAAATTGTACATTATACAATTTCCCGTATCGAGATTAAAATTCATATTACAACAATTTTTTCGGTTGCCGTTTATTTTTGGGCTTATCGCCGTAGTTTCGTGTCTTATCACTATCGGCGTTCGTCGGCCTTGAATACAGAAAGAAAGGAATTAAATGCCGAACGCTTAATAAAAAAATTGGAATTATTCCGAACCGTTTAATAGACGAGCATAAAAATCAGCATAAAATTTCGCAACCGCGTAAAATTCGTTTTTTGCATATAAATCGTATAGTTAATATTGAATAGGCCACCTGTCCCACATGTGTGTATAAGGATCTGGTTTTACAGATGGCCGGATTTTTTCTCGAATCTCGCTAAGAGAGGCTGAAGACATGTGCCATGTGTTTCGTTGATTGGTTTTTAACGGGTCAGGTGGGAAGCAGAAAACAAACAGTTTTCGACATGAAAAACTCTTCATGTAGGTAACAGTAACATTACACCGCAAACCCACTAATTGCCATAATTTACAAAGGAAAATTTCAAAAGTCTATTAGCAATAGGAAACAATAATCGTGATAATGAAATTACTTACAAATCAATCAATTTGTTAAATTTATTGCGTTACTACATCCTGAACGATAGAAGTGCATGATATATGGAGCGCAAGCACTTTCTCTCAAGTTTAAATTACACAACTGATAAGAAATAAACTGAAAAGAAAGTGGCAATTTCATAAAAAAACTACAGATTGTCGCGGACAAACATTTCATGGAATATACAGGTCGTACGAACTGATCCGCTGCAAGCATTAGAATTAGAATCTCAATCAATACTATAAGATAGTAAAGAACAGAAACTTGTTTATCGGTTGCCGGCCGATATTAGAATTCGTCAATTCGCTTCGCTTCGTCCACTAGCGAATAGCGGGGATAGCGGGCGTGATTATTTTGTATGCTCTCTTTATTCCTTACATAGCAAAAGTTCAATTAACTATCTCATAATTCTCATTGTATGCTTGCAGCGGATCAGTTCGTACGACCTGTATGTACCTGCATACATACATATGTACATTCCTAAATAAACAATTTTAACGTTATATTTACGTTTAAAATAAAAATTTCTATGAATTAAATTGAGTATATGAATTTGTATGCAAATATTATTTCCTTGGCAGTTCCAGCTATTTCTGTCGAACTGTAAGAATAAAAATTATTTAACAACACAAACTTACAATTGTTTTGTAGCTTTTTACAAATTGTGCTACTGTATCAGTGCTATATCAATTGATACAATAATTAACCAACATTTTATGAGGTATGCGCAACAGTTAGGTAAATGATAGGCAATGCAAAAAGGCAACCAGTTTGAAAATTGACTTACTTATTTATGGCGTTTTCCATTGTTAAAAAAGTGCGCACTGAAAGTGCACTCAAAGCGAAATTTTTGTTTCATTTGGTGCACTTTTGCGATGTTTTGATTTGCATTGATAATCTGGTTACCAAAAAAAACTTTTGGAAATCAAAACACTCACACAGTCCACCAAATAAAACAAAAATTTTGCTTCGAGTGCACTTTCAGTGCACACTTTTTTACCAATGGAAAACGCTATTAGTTTCGCTTGATTTGAATTATTCTAGATACATATGTCAAGTAAATTTTCTATCCACGCGAAATTTTATTTAATTAGTTATTTCTTCATTCATTAATGAATTCATTCGTTGTGGCGTTGAATTTATCGCAAATTCCCTGAGGTCAACCTATTATCTGTAATAGATAATGGCTTCATATAAAATGTTTTAATTTATTTTTAATAATTTAATTTATCGTTGTTTCATTAAAAAATTGTGATTAATTGAAATATGCATCGGAATAATCGAAATTAATCTAATCTTAATGTTAGACATATCCACAATATCAACTTTGTTGACATTTCAATATTGTAGTTTTTCAAACTCCACATATTCAGATCTAATCTGCATAATATCTACTGTCTTCAAGGTTCTTTCTCAACAATATTACACTTATTGGTTGAATTCCAAATAATCTTTTATTCAAATAAACGCCGTATTGTATTGTATTCATTAATAATTGAGAACCATGGCGGCAATAAACATGTAAATTTTATTTCCGTATTTTTAACGGTAGCTAATTTTTCCACACCTTAAATTCTCAAGTGCAGGGTGTTCGCGAGTCATGCCGAATGAATGGAAATTTTTCAGATGAGTTTGCAACTATATGCATCCATGTTTTATTAACTTATAGTTTTCGCAATTTGTAAACATCAATTCATATTTTATGGAATATTCGCAAATTTATAATTAATGCTTTATTACACAATTTTATATACAAAAAAAATTAATTTTGTTACCTTTTGATATAGAAACGATAAAAGTATCTGTTTTTATTGACTTGTTATAGATATATGATTTAAAACACAATTCCAATATAATTTCGTAACAAATTTACTTTCAAAATAATAAATTACTCATTTGAATAATAACGTTTAAAACAATTGCAATATGATTTTTTCAACGCAGATATTTAGAGGCACCGGAAAATTTTAACTTATATTTTGCGGCATTCTTCGAATACTTCATACTGATTCATTTGACGCGCATTCAAAATAAAATTGAGATTTTTTAATCGAATTAAACGGTGAAAAAAGACTGTATGGATCGAAAAATAGACGAACAATGTGAGGCCTTTAATTTTTAAAATACAAAATTAACTTCGTTTATCAGTGATTAAAATTGCTGATAAAACATATTCATTTCAAAAATAATCCAATTTAACTAGAAAATGCATGGACGCAATATTGTAACTTAATTTAACAAGTAATAAGCAAAATTAATGTTTTAATCAAATACATTAGTCCAATTATTAAACAGTAAATCAAATTATAAGATATACGTATGTGTATAGTAAAAACATGCAAACACGTGTCTGGTAGCTAAAAAAATTATACGTAAAAACAAATTCGTACTATTAACATTTTGCGTAAACACGAATAATTATAATCCCAGTAAAAACTTCACGAGCTTTCCTAACAATACGATAATTTGTTGAACCTCGTCAAGGATGATTAAAATTGTAGTAAAATGTAGTATATTATGAAACTACTCACCTCCAGTACCAAGCACTTTGAGCAAATCGAAATGAGACATATCAACCCTCCCGATGCCGGAAAGGTTAACTGAAAAAGAAATAAATTATATGAGTATTGAGGTAACAATTTTTTATTAAACATTGACGCATAAAAGAATCACTAGCACTCCTCAACAAAGTGTAAATGTAGATAATGTAATATAATAAGACAATAAATAAGAAAACAACTCCTTTCTCACTATATTTAACGTGTGAAAGGTAAATTTCATTGTAAATACTGTAAACATATGGCGGAGGAGTTTGGTTAACAAATCTTTCCGATAATATTATTTCCTTATTTGTAGGAGTATTATTAGTTGTGGTTGTGGTTAAAAAGATTTATTGTTAGTGGTAAACGCTTATGTTCGATACCAACGGCAAATAAAATTCGAAAACAAACAATATTTACCGATAAACATATCTCATTGGAATCGAGTCAAATACCTTCGATTCGCTCCGATCCGATAAGAAAAAAACCAAAGTGACTTTAAAACGCGGCATAAAATTGGAAATCCGTATAGAAAACTCAATCAAACGCCCCGTCGAAAAGATGTTCGTCTAAACCGTTAAAAAATGCACATTAAAAAAACTTTATTGAAGATCATCATCCCCGATGGCAGGAAAAAATCTTTCGGTGTGACAGATCGCGTCTAGTTCATTTTTCGCCCAGACTTATTTCTACGTAAAAGGTTCAGACGTCTGCCGTATCTCGCCTTGGAACTTTTTTTGTGTGGAAAAAGGGTCACAGACGAACAAATACCTTCGGCTCGCACACCTCACGCAGAATCAGAGCGGTAAACGATAAAGGGCATAATGGTTCGTACCGAAATTCGAGTTCTACATTGCCGGTGAAAAATGAAAATCCGATAGCCGGCTCCGTTTTTAATTCGGCAATATGTAAATCGACCGAATTTTCGTGAAAATAATATTGAAATCAGTTCGTTAACCGTCTCGACGGGGTCGAATGTGCGTTTCAAAGGGCGGACTAAAAACGATGAAGGGTACAGTGACCTTCAAACGGTGGTGGATGGGAGAATGTGCGATAATTCGTCTCGTCTGCGTAATTTAGGTTAAATTGGGATTTAAACAATGCCAAATACAAACAGTGACTGCTTTCACTTCAGTACTTATACGGAGATGCAGAGATGAATGTTTCTAACATTTTGGTATATTTCATAAACGTGGTGCAATTAACCTAACGAGCAATTTTTTAAACACAAAAAAATAAGTTCCTTTGAAGGACTCATAATAAATTAACCATTCCTAGTTTTTATCTTTATTTTTTTCCTATTCCTTAATTAACTATAATCATTAAATAATTAGTTTGCATGAGCTAGCCTTATGGGCAAAAAATTCACAGAAAAATCGTATTTAGGTCTGGAAGCGCTGGAGCCGTCTCTTACAACTATGTTGTCTATCTATTTCATGAATAACACCGATGGCATCCCGGCCCAACAACTGTTATAAACTCGAGCTAAGATTGAAGTGAACTGAAAATAGCCGTTTAAAATGCTTACCTACTCAAGTAAATTGCTACTTTTTCGAGCAAAAGTGATATTACGAAATGAAACAGTTATGTTATTTTCCTGTTCAGTAATACATTGGAAGTTTGTATGTGGTAAATTCAAAAAATCGTTTCTATATAGGGACTGAGGAGCAAATTTCGTTTAAAATTCTTTGCAACACCAATATTACCTTGAAACGTGCAACAATTTTGAAAAAAAAATGTGTACCGCCAATTAGTCCGATTAGTAATCTAGAAGAAATTGACTTTAATTGTCTAACATGACTAACAACGAATGAGATATATTTAAAAAATTCTAATGTGACATCTGCTAAGCGAGTAACTTCCAGACGCAAATATACCATTTTCAATTAATCTTCTTCGAGAATTGAAGATACAATTTTAAAATTAAACTATTATGCATAAAATTGGAAACTTTTCGTGAATAAAAAAACACTCCTATTCAATTAAGCATCGCTTTTACTTTTTTCAAAATGTAGGACGCAATATTTAGGTGTTAAATTCAATAGTAATCGCGCAAAAGAATGAAAATAATAATTAATCAAATTATACCTTTCACATAATTTAATTCTTCGAATAGTTCGTTCTTTGGTCATTGCGAAAATGCGGCGTTTTTATAATTATAATCTAATCATTACGTTATTACTTCCTGTTGTAGGGATGGAGGTTGCATTGCCTCATGACACGTGTGCAGCTTTTTTTTATAAATTTATTCAATTTTAATTTCGCACAGAGACACGGGACGTGTTTGTATTAAAATTTTACATCCAATAGAAATCTAAAAATAAGTTCCTCGACCTTGTTTCACTTTTTTCTCGTTGCTAAATAATGGTCGAGAGTACTTTGAATTTGCACTTACAACTCACTGCTTTTTAGCAAAACGTGGGAGGGCAAATGAGACGGAAAAAAAATAAATTTCTATAACGGGAGGAAACAGATTGTAAGGATAATGGAAAGCGAATATTAATACTAATGAGCAAGGATATTGATGTAATAAATTGAAACGATGGGGTCAGGGAGATATTTAACGTTCTAATTCGACCTATATTTGGAAGTGCTTGTTCGTGATAAGTGATATTCGGGAGTAATTGCAGATTATTAACACCAACAAACGTGTACAAAATTAAATGTAATAAGGACTGTTTTGAATTAATTTTGTTATTAACTGCTTCAATTAATTCGTACGTAACAACATGTGGTAGGTATATAACGTAATTTTATTACCTATAGTACCTAACGCTTTTCAACGCCGCAATAATACAACGATAATTGGCAAGTTCAATCAAGGTAATTAGCGAAATTATTGTTTTATTGTACTACATTCGAAGAAATGGATGGTTTACCGTCATTTATAACAGTACCGCGTTGCTGGTAAATGTGACGCATACTTGAAAAGATGTTTTTTATGTACTTTCCATTGGTAATACCGGTTTATGCGTCCGTTCGCCGGCCAGAAGGGCACTAATTCTTAAGGCCCCGAAGTAATTCCACAAAAAAATGGATTCAAAATTTAATGGCTTCTAATACCAAAAACCTTTTAGAAATGTAGTCTGAAAAAAGGTAAATTATATTCTACACGCAATCTTAAAAAAAATGTATAAAAATAAGAAACCCTCACTCAAATCGAATCGAATCGATCTCGAACTAATCTTATAAGACATTTTTGCGTTATATCATAAATTCAATACAAATAAGATAGTTCACCTACTTTATAAAATTACGCATGTAAATGGAAACGCACTTGATATACACCAATGAGCCTTAATATTATTATAACGCATTCACTCTTCCGTAATGCCGTTGAAATCTTAATTGTGGCCGCGTAAAACAAGTAAAATAATACACATGCTGATTTTTTAATTGTGTCTTCTTGTGTGTTGGTATCCTGTATTAAGTATGACACGAAAGCTGCACCGTGGGTTACAAGAACAATGTCTACGTCAGGTAGAATATATGCTGTTGTACAGCGGATGTTTATTCGCAAAGCCATTTTCTATTATACATATTACAAAAATGGAAATTACCGTATTAAAAAGCCAAATTGGTCGTTGCGAATATCGTACGCCTAACACGCACAAGATGCTGAATTTATAATGAATTTTGAAGAGCACAAATCAAACAATATATTTAAATCGCATTTGTTTTCCCGTTTCGTGACGCTTATAGCATTATATATTTTATTAGGAAACCCTAACAGGAAGGGAAATCGATACGCCTATATATTTTTTCTAGGGTGCACGTGTAAACCAAACAGGCCGAAAAATAACGATGGAATAAAAGGAGATTACCAACCCTTTATCAACTATCACGCAACTGCACATCCAAATGTATTATTATTGCTTTCGTCAATCTCGGGATTCCTCACGATACGTTCTAAATAATACAATTTAAGGCAAGTTAATATCCTATTACAAATAATTTTCAATTTGAATTGTGTTTACCGTACCGACATAATCATTAAATCAACGCTGGACTGTAATGAGTACTATTTTAAAAACTAAGAACCAATTATGTCACAACATCGGTGCCAAAAACTACAAATTAAATTCCAACTCTTAATGCAATGTAACCTTTAATATTTCATAAGTTAATTTAAGGAACATTTAAATGAGAACGAATGTTAAGCTGCACCACTTAATCCGTCCCTGCTACTTAGGGCATTACCATATGTGGTTGTTTATGTTGCATATAGAATCCGGCGTGTACTTTCCATGTATTACACCGCTTTTTTAGCCTTCTTTTTACTGAAACCAAGCAACTGGTGCTGGATGCCGAGAGGGCCTAGCATGGGGTACGACGACGCGTAAGTGTACGCCGATGGATATATAACATTGGGGTAGTTAACTAGTCGATGGGGTGAACGGCCTACCGGAAGTTGTTCGGAGTTCATTTCACTCTTAGGAAACTAGATACATACGTACCGAGCGCGAAGGTATAGAGGCGATGGGTTCCGTATGTCGTTTATTACTATGTTCTTTACATCGTCAAAGACCAGTGTTCCACGAAAGAAACTGATATTAATAAGTTCTAAGCGTTAATTTCGAGCGACTACAAACGTGATTCATCGATCAAAATGCACTATTAATAAATTCCAGCGAATGCGGTTTGTTTCGTTTTCTTTAGGCCTGGTATAGTTTTCGACCTACTCCCGTAAAATTGGTGAAAGGTTCGGAAACAGATATTCGCGGCAGGCATATAATTTATGCGGATGAATTAATTTGATATAATCATTGTTAATGGAAGTAAAAGTTACTGTTTTAGAATCGAAAATTTTATCTCGTTTCTTATCATTGAGAATGATCTCGATTTAACTACCACATCACAGCGATCCCTTTCACATTGATGCATTCGAAACGGTTATTATATTACAAAAAAAATTAAAAACAAATACCAATTAAGCAGCGGCAATAGAAGATGAAAAAGAAAGAGCACTAAAATAATTACCAAAAAATTTTTAGCGATAGGTGTAAGAATAAACAAACGACATTGTAAACGTCTATAAAGATTAGTATATTAGATAAGAA